TCTTGGCCCCTTCCGTGACCCCTTCCGCGGGGTCCGCTTCCTCGGCGTAGAAAATCCGGTCGACGAGCTGCAGAGTGTCGCGCTTCCCGCACGGCGTCATTCGCCTGAGAGGGAAGACGCGCGGTCCCGCGGACGAGTGCGCCACGATGGCCAGCCGGTCCGCGTGTCCCAGCGCGAACACGACGCGCGCCATCGCTTCCTTCATGAGCGTCACGTAGTGGGGCCCGCCGGGGCTCGCCACCAGGACCACATCGGTGGGCGGGTGGCGGTGACGGGCTAGTTTCACGGAGAGGCACGCCACCCTATTGTTGGCCCGAAGCGGCGAAGTTGTCAAGGAGAAATGGAGTCTGGGGAGGTCATCGTTTTCGTAATGGGGTGAGCCTAGAAGAAGGGAACGCCGCCTGTTGACCCTAAAAGTGGCGATTGATTCGTCGAGGATTTGTAGGATGGGATCGCTGCCTCCGGAACAGTGGGCTGTGGCCCGCAGGTTGCGGGGGATCTGTGTCCAGAGGGCACGGCAGATGGGGCAGGAAACGCTGCCGTGTCTTACGTTTGAAGATATGCAATCGAAGTGGAACGCGTGGGAGCATTGTGCTGTGAAGATGGCCTGCCCATTGCTCGAGCTAAAAATCAATGGTTCCAGGCAAATGGCGCACAGATTCTGTACCACAATCAAAAGAACAAAGGTTTAAGTCATCTCATATAGGTCCTATTTCATGGAAACTCAAAGTCTTAATAGTAACAGAGTTGTGAAGAGGGAGGAATGTTTTAGCCTAGCTGTAACAAGAATGGACAAATTGCAGCTCAAAGAAAAAATCCACTGTCAATTAGGATGCCAAGAGTTGAAGATTTTTTCAAGAACATATGGTCCAAGAGATCAAGGAGTATAGTAGAATTCTTGAAGTAATTTGGAATAATATATGGCAATACTCCCTGAAAAAAATTTGAGATTTTACACAAAGATTATCATTGGTGCTCCTAGTTTTTACATATCTTGATGCAAATACTTCAAGATTGCAAATTGATTCAAGACACTCATGAAAGAAAATGGAGAACCAATCTACAATAAAACTGTGATAATAATGTAATCTTGGAGTTTTCTTGCAAAATATAACTATTTTTGGGATTTTTACATGAATTTTTCAAAAGGAATTTGAGATGGATTTTTCAAAGTAATTTCAATGATATGAGGATTGAAGGCTTGAAGCTTGACGATGGTGCAATTGAGAATGTGCATTTTTCTTTTACCTTATTAGAAGAATTGGAATCTGATTGCTGTGCAAATTTGGAAGCTGTAACTGGGTGAGAATTGCTCGCCGGCTCTGCGACGACCGGAGAATCAAGAAATGCCTGCCGGGAAAGAGAGTTCAGAAAAACGAAAATTAATGCAATTCCACACAGACCCAACCCGATTCTACAATTGGGTATCTCTAGAAACAGAAAATATCGATGTAACGCCGGAAAGACCGCCGGAAAATGCCAGGTAAGGTGAAAGATCCCGGCGGACTGCGGGAAATAGAAAGAGGGAGGCTTACACTAGCTGCGGCGGCGATGGGGGTGTCGACAACAACAGGGGAGTGGTGTCTCCGGGAGAAAGAGCCACCGCAGGTTCGGAGAAGGAACTTTTTGGCGGCTTTCTTGAGCTTCCACGACAGAGACGGTCCTCCGCCGGTGGACATTCCGGCGGCCGGAGATGATTCTTCCTTCACACCTGCCAAGTTGGGTGCTCCAATAATTGAAATGGGTTTGTCAGATCCCTTGACAGCATAGAATTGCAGTAACTATTCCAGGTGAAATACAAACTCTGGGGCCGGGCTGGGGCATAAAGATTTGCCCTTTTTCTTTATCTTTTTTAAAAGCATCTTCTTGTTCTATGCCACCACCACAGTCCTTTTCATCGTCATTGTTCTGTGCCACCACGCCCCCTTGGGTCCACGACATGACCTACATTGCATTCACTTTGACAGGGTCTCTTCTGAATTGGTCGGACAGTTATCTAAAAAAAAATTACTCCGTAGTTATAATCATCTGAGTTCGATTCCGAACTGTAACACTCTTAACAAGGTAAGTGATGCAAGAGGGGTATCACCAAGTTCAATTTCTGACAATAACGCTAGAAAACAACTACATTAAATATAGGATCTCTGACCGTCCGTCTGTTTTGGGATGGATACTAAAAATTGGGGCTCATCCCTAAAAATAAAAAAAGAACCCTCACCCTTAGTTGGTCAGTGTCCTAATGTTATCAAGACTTTCACAGTTTCACCATATAAGAAATTCATTTTCCAGAACCTCCAGAGTGCAAGATGCAAACAAGATTGTCACAGCAATACTTTGGATCTTTACTAAGTGAGTTGTGCCCGTGGGGAGATATATTTTTCAAGAATACACCTAACACTCATTCTGGTTCCTCTAGAGGCACTATTAATCAATTTGGTCGACATATATTAGGTTGAATCAAATTAGCTCTTGTAACTAGAAAATGTGATTCAAATATTCCTTGTAACTAGAAAATTGTAATCAAATTAGTCTTTCTAACAAACTTTTTTTTTCAAATGTGTTATTAAGATATTGAGTTAATACGTTAATTGACGTAAGGATACTGATCCCGAATGTTAGTTCCTTGTGTCAACCGATGTGCTAACTCTATGTTTCAAGAATACTATTTAGACAACTTTTTATTAGATAGATTTACTAAATTCACATATTTTAAAGACAGAGACTAATTTGATTCAGCCCAACCTACATGAACTAAATCTTATTCTGACATAAGTTGTGTGTAAAGTTTTTTTTTGAATTTTTTGCAATATTCTTTTAAAATGAATCGACTGTGGGTTGGTATAATATTTTATTATTGGATTGGGTATTGAATTTCATGGAGTGGACTACCGATAATTCAATCCATTTTTAATCAAACAGATCTCAATCATACAAATTTCTTCTGTTGTTCATCTTCATTTCTGACTATTTTGTATTTAAAAATTTTAATTGGGGAAAATTAGAAAGAATGAATATTTCCAATATGGGCGTTTCTACACTATAAGGCTTAAAAATTCATATAAAATTCATAAAATTCAGACCAAGAAAACTCATCCTTAGAAAGTTGAAAAAAGAGAAAGATTTGCGAAGAAGACGATGGGGATATGATTAAGAAATGTTAATTTAGAAAAACTCAAGCTAAATAAGAATAAAATATAGAGAATGTCCAAAACAAGAGCCTAATGCTTTTATCTCCAAAATAGGAATTTGCATTGTGCAATGTGACATTATATATGGTCATTTCATAATATTTCTTAGTAGTATATACGGTCATGATTGACATTGTATATGCTTTTTCATTCTTATTTCAAGAATAAAAACATTGAATTCTTATTTTAATATATTTTTAATGTTTTACTTCTATTTTAGTCTTTTTCTTTAATTTGATTGTTTAAAATGAAAAAATTCCAAGTTGACATTTTGAAATTCTCCACTTAGCTTTAAAAGAGCCACATATGTAACACACATGATTATGAGATAGCGTTAGAGTAATGAAATAAATATGAGACAACTCTAGGAGTAATTACGTAAATTAATGGATTTTGGGATATTTATATGAAATCGTAAATTTTTTAGAGTATTCCTGTATTCGTGTGAATTTTTACTTCATTGTATTTAACATACTAATTGTCACAAACATGGCCGACGCTAGTTTGCCTAGCCATTATTGTTAGGATCGAAAACAACATACCTTGAAATTTGATGAAGAAAATAAAGAAAAACAAAGGGAGAAATTGAGAGGTGGGGAGAGAAAAGAGAAAGAGTAAAGTTCGGGATAACACCACGATATCTACAACAGTTTCAAAGAATGTACAATTACAAAATGAAGTACCATAATCTAACAATTATGTTATTATAAACATTGTTCATCATTTATTGTCTGGTCATTATCGTCTTCAAACATGTCTTTACCGGGTCAAGGAATCAACATAACCAAAAAATTCAAATTTGTAATTGTAGAACCATTAAAGGATCTTATATTCTTATGCACACTTCCATGCAGACAAGATACATTTTTGCTTGAGCCGAACATTATTTTTTTAAACTGGGCAGTGGTGAAGCTCAAATATGTGACCTATTGGTCAACAAAGTTCTGATATTATGTCAAGAACCTAACTCAATAAAAAAAGACAACAAAACTCCAGTATCATATCAAGAAATCAACTCAACCAAAAGGTCAAACTTATGATTGTAGGCCCGAGAATGATTTTTAAGTTCTAACGGTTAGAAATCTGTGTTAATAGATTTAATATTTCATATTTTTTAACAAATTTAATACAGAGTATAAAATACCTTGAAAGTGTTAAACCTAAACAAAGCTACTCCGTATTAAATATTTTTTTAAAAAAAACTAAAGTTAAACACTCCAATCATTGTCAAAGAGACACTACATCTACCATATGAGAACCACACCATGGTCTAAAGTTGAAAGTTGAATCCAAGAGCGGGCAAGCCATTCAAAATGGCAACGCCTAATCTCATAAAGAAGCAAATAACACAAAAACAAAAAATAGGATTTGGATTGTTCATGGCGCCTCACCGCAGTTTGTGTTGCTGAAGTCTTTTTCTTTTTCCTTTTTTTATTTGTTTTTGTCTTTTTGACCAAGATATTTTTCCCATTATATACACTAATAATAATAATAATAATAATAATAATAATAATAATAATAATAATAAGAATATTATTATTATTATTATTAAAGTAGAAAATGCACGGAGTAGGAGATGAAATTATGACAAACATGTTATGTTGGCTACTTGAATCCCTTGATCCGAAACAACTTTGTGCACTTTTGACTCAAAAAATCACAAGAGTGTGACGTATTGAGATTTCAAGCTCCCGTGTTCTTCGATATGCCTTAGGCAATAGTTATGTGTGCAATCCATTCGAATAAGAGTCACAAGTATCACAATCCATGACGTGAATGTCTCGCACAAATATGCATATGATTCATTCAAAAAATTTGTGTCAAGATTTCTTTTGACCTTCGTACACCCTTCAAATTCCTTTTAAGTTACCATAGTGTTGCTTTGAGCGTCTGTTTGACCAAATAGTGTGGCCGACAGACTGTTGGTATCCCAAAGGACGTCCCTCCTTAATCCTTATGGTGATTCTCTATACTATTTTGCATAAATGAATGTATATTAGCATAAAAGAATAGAAATAGAAAAGAGAGACCAGTTGATCATTTACATAATATATCAGCACCTAAGCATTAGCCAAACAATGATCAGAAAGGACAATTGAAATTTTAAGTGCAGATTAACATGCTAACTCTAATCCTCCCTTGCAAACTGTGTGTGTGTGTGTGCGTGCACACACACATAAAGAATAGAGTTATAAAAAAAGGAAAAATGGCACGTGCACCAAAGTCAAAGAAACAAATAGAGCACGAACGAACCTGAGAGCTAAGATGTGGCAGCAGTTGAGATTGGAACTATGAATTAGGCATTTCAATTGCTGCTTAAAGAATTAATGTTGCACTCCCGCAAAAATTCGTGATCATAATCAATAAATCTTGACCAGTAATTTTGGAACTTTGGGATGCTAATCTCAAGCCATGGCTTCAAGTTGCCATTGTAATGTATGACTGCAGCTCTTTCAATCTCTTTCAGACTTACATTTGGGTTGTAGCCGAGGCCCAAGACATGCCACGATCGATCAAGAGCATATGTATGATTCCAAAAGGTAATCAAACCGGGCGGGAGGGTTCCCAACTTCCACAATTGTCTGTTGTTATTCTGTAGTATAATGTTGGAACACTCTATCAGAACTGACCCAATTACCCAAACAATCATTAGGATAATTGCATACAAAAAGGTGAAAAGCAGAGAGAAATAAAGATTACCGTAGATATAAGAAGTTAAGGAAATGCAGACTTTCGACAACTGAAACCCGTATAAACTATACATAACTTTATTGATTTCGGAATTCAGACTATATATTGTAGTGTGCCCAATAAATTGTGTACTAAAGTGACCGAGTCAGACTATTGTGTTACAATTAGACTTTGCTCACTCTTTTGTTCATGCAAAACAACTTTCCAAACCATGCTCGCAAAATAAAATGAAAAACTTAAGGGAAGAGATTAACAAGTGAAACCAACCCATCCAAGCAGAATCTAGGGATATTCCAAAAATAAAACTCCAAGTCATTATATGAAAACGTTGCAGAAATTAATTGAAGAAAAGCAACTTAGACTAAATGGGGATAGTAGATGTTCATGCTTTAGACATATGTAATTTAAAAACCTTAATAGGCTAGCTATGAAATAACAGAAAATACAAATGTTAAAAAGCTCTTTTATGGCAAGGAAAACGTATGCTCACTCTTGTTCAAAATAAGTGTCACTTTGGATGATAAATATTAGTTCATGATAGGTGTTTCTTTATAAAAGCAAGACAACATTCAATCAACTTTTACCATATTTGCCCTTCTTTGTAAAACCAAGTCAACCTATAAAATGACTGTAGGTGTATTTTTAGAAGTGATATTCTAAAACATCCATTTGATGATTCCTTAATCTGCATAATTTCCTCTAAACTGAGTAACTGACACTAATTACGAGCAGGAGGGAGTAGATAATAAGCTTTGTTGAAAAAAACATTTCCTTACCAAGGTCTGCCAGGAATGATACACCTCAGTGATATTTCTCCTTTTCCATTCACTCAATTCAAATATATTCATTCCAAAAGCCCAACCACAGGCATGAGGGTCAAACTTTTGGGAAATCATAGGATTTGAGAAGTTGAGATACCGATCAAAACGATGGAAACTTTCTCCACACGTCTCAACCACACCAACAACTTTACCTTTCATATTAAGAGACCAAAGGGCAGTAAGATCCTTTTGAACAACTATATCATCATCCAAAAATAGAACTTTGTTCAGTTTAGGAAAAATATCGGGTATGTAAAAACGAAGATGATTCATGATTGAGAGGTACTTTGGATTTCTATACTTCATGTTTGAATCAGTATCTGCATTACGAGCCTTGAAGTAATAATTAATCATGGAAGGAGTGCCCATTTGCTTGAGAACCGGACTGTAACTTGAATTTAACCACGCGAAGTCCTCCACATTCTGAACTTCTATTGTAGCATTCTGTGGTGGGTTTATCAAAAACCACATTCTCATAGAAGCAAAATTAAGCTTGTCAGTGACTATGTGGAAAACATGCTCTGAAGGATCCTGCACAGATATTATAGGGGTAGTTAAGACTTAAGGAAAGACTATAAGATGGAGAATACAAAGTGAATAAGAAAAAGTGAAATTTGCACTAAATAGTACTAAAACATATGTCATTTCTCAATGTAGTACTTAAACTCTTTTATTCCCTAAATAGTACTTGAATAATGTCTAGTGGCGAGAACAATGTCCAGTGATGGTGGACATTTAGTTTGAACAATGTCCAATGGTGCTGAACATTTACTTGAACAATGACCAGTGCACATTGAACAATGGTACTACATTGGAAAATAAAAACATATGGTACTACATTGGGAAAGTCACTATGTTTTAGTACTATTTAGGTAAATTCCCCTACGAACAATGGGAGAAGACAAAAAAAACTATTGTTTCATGATTGAATTCGTATCATACATTCCGCCCCCCAGCACAATGACTATTAACTTCATGGTTACCTTGGCATGGGAAACAGTTGAGTTTACAACAACAGCTGTTGCTAATATGTTATCTGAGAAGATGGCATAGTGATATAGCTTGGGATTTTCTAATTTCTCTTCATTCAGGAAATGCCGTTGAGAGGAATTTAACTTGAAATATTCCGTTGAAAGACGTAAAGGAAGGCAGTGGAGACCCTTAGGAAGCGTTTTCGCTGTAAGATGGGTTAAAAACATAGCTTGCTTCTTTTGTGCCTGAAGTTGCTCTTCAGTTGAGTGAAGCATAGCACGCAACTTCTTAATAAAAGCGACACAGTCATCATGATTTTGTTTTGCTTTAGCCAATGTTTGCTCCATTGCCTTCATCCTGACATTTGCGCTACCATACACAACAAAAGCTTGCTTTATGCATAAAGAAGATATTCAATAAACACAAATATGACAGAAACTGTGATTGATCAGTATTACCCCATCCGTCTCGCAATAATTGCACACTTTCCGTTTTGTGAATCTCAAAATAAACTTCACACTTCCCCCAATTTCATTTAAGGAAAAGAATGCGTGGCTAGTAATATTTTTCTTTCTTCTAACAAATTTCAACCACAATCTTTTCAATTTTCAACACTAACTTTGTTAAGTCAAAAATGAACTTAATTACGGACTTGAGGAGTATGGTTTAAAAAATACAAGAAGTATTATTGTGAATAAAAATAAACACATGTTATCTAAGGGAAAACATACTTTCTTGGTAGCTCGGAATCTGTTGTCGCTTCTCCAAGTGCTCGCTCAACTTCCTTCATCCTCAAACGGAGTTCTCTTACAAAATGAGGGTTACTTCTTGTTGCAGACAGTGAAAGATATACCCTTGCCCTTATGAGTTGATCCCTAAGCTGGTGGATACGAGCATCTGTAAATACTTTCTGTTCTCTCTGTTTCTCATTTTTGCTACTCGTGTGATTGGTTCTAAACTTTTGAAGAGTCCCCTGACCATGTACTTTTTCCTAATAGTATGCACAAACGGAAAATCAGTACACAGACCAAATCTAATAGCAAACTCGCAACATCCTATTCCTTTTTTGGGTATTTAACTACACTGAAGTCTTGATGTGCCAAATTGATGCTACATTGTTAACATAGCACACGCAAGCAGAAATATTTCATGCAATCTATGATGACAAAATGGAATAAAGTAATTCATTGAAATGAATATTAAAGAACACATCTCGAAAACATCCACAGTCACCATACCAATACATGTAAAAATAAAAAGTGTAAATTTACCACTGTTGTAGAGGAATTATGAGATTTGTGGTCAGGTTCCACGGCAGTAATCTTATCGGTACTTTTAACTTCCACAGCTGATTCCTCTTTCACTGCCTTTTCACGTCCCTTATGGGTATTGAGCCCTTCTTCAGTCGCCTGTCTTATGGGGTCATCAATGTCAGCTTTCTCAGTTTCCTGAACATTGCTCCTTCTGTTTTCTAGTAATTCTGGTAAAATAAAACCACATAGTTATTTTAATATGCAAGGCGTCTGAGGAAACATAAAAATCCAACTAAGCTTTCTCAGAACAAAACCTTCTAAGCTCTAGCAACAGAAAGCCAAGAAAAACCGAAATACAAATAAAATTAGATTAAATTTCAATAAACAAGCACCTTCAGTGAGGCGTCTCGTCTTACTGCCATTTTCACTCCTGCTGTGCAAGGTTCTGGAATGGGATAGTATGGAAGTTTTAGAATAGACTACGCCCAATGGTTCATTGGTATCCTGTGAGATTCCATTGGGATTGAAATATACACAAATAATAAAAACTCTAAAATAATTGAAATACACAAAGAAGTTATAGATCCTATATTAAGGCCATGTTTGGCATTGCCACCCGGAACTGCTTATGTTTTCTGATTGCAATTTCATGATTATGGCTTTTCAAATTCCAGATTTGAATAAGCATCAATTTGATACCAAGGATGCTCCAAATGAAAAGACAGCCTAAAGCAAAAAATAATACCTGAGGTAGCATATTTAAAGGCCTGATTTCACCACCCAATGTCTGAAACCAATGATCCAAATCCGAGAAAACCCATAAAAATTACTCATAAACATACAGAAATAAAGTCAATAAATTCATAAAATTTGACAAGGCTTACAAAAGCAGAAACTTCCTCAACAAATTCATCTCTTGCTGCAAAACGAAATTGAGGAAACCCCATTAATCAAACAAAAAAACATTGCAAAATCCAAATAGAGAAATTGCAGTGAGAGATGCAGGAATTACGAGTGGAAGTGAATCCAGTGTTGGTGTAGAGCAAAATGGGGGCGAGAACGGTCACCAGCAACAACGATAACAGCACCGGTTTCCTCAGCCTCATCTTCTCTGCTCCGAAACCTCTGAAAAAAAATCTGGAAGATTTAATCTTTTCTTCTCTTCTGAGAACCGTTGCAGCGACGAAGGATGAAGAGCATAGCCAATCGGAGAAGCGATCAGCCAGACAGCCACAAACCAAAGACTGCTCTGTGAGTTGCGATCGACCCGCTTGCCGGAAAACCTCTTTCGCGGCCACCTCGGGGTAGCGCGTGTGCGTAACGGAGACGGAGTATGAGAGTGCGTGTGGGCAGAGCGTAACGACTAATGGCATATTTTCTGGAAGGTTTAGTTATTCGCCATCAATCAGAGGCGACAAGAACGGGCAAACTGTAGAAGACTCTGACTCGCCATGCTCGCTCTAGAAAATTATTCGGAGGGGTATACCCATTTGTCCACTCATTTTTACCTCATTTTTATTAATTTACTCCGTAATTTTTTTAAAGTTTCTTACCCATTTTTGTGGTAATGAAGGGGTGGGGGATAAATGAGGTACACTAAAGGTGTACCCCTAGCATTTTTCAATTACTTGCCATGCCCGACTAGAAAATTGTTTTAAAAAAGTTTTGAAATTCAATTTATATTTAAAAATTAGAATAAATTCCCAAAATGGTCAATAAGTTGTTTTTTCAAATCAGTCTTCAATAAATTTTAATTATATACGTGGTTCTCTATAATTGAAATTTATTCTCAAGATAGTCTTTCGTAAATAATGTTACTTAAATGAGGATTAATTGATGGTACTTTGGTATTTTTTATCCACTAAATTTAGAATTAATTCTTAAAATAATCATTTATAAAAAAAGTGTTTTCCCAAAATGGTTTTTTTAAATTAAAGATGTGTATTTGATTTGAAATTTAATTTTTTTTATAAGTTTTAAATAATTCATGAATTATTGATTGTGAATGCATTTTTCCATTTTACATTTAGTTGTACAGGAATAATTATTCCAAGATAAATCTTTAAATTTGGATTATCAAAAGACCAAAAATATCTCTTAATTAATCATCATTTGAGTAACATTATTTATGAAAAATTATCTTGGGAATAAATCTCAATTATAGAAGACCATGTAGTTGATTAAAATTTATTGAGGATTGAATTTGGAAACACTTTATTACAAAGGACCATTTTAAGAATTTACTCTAAAAATTACTTAAAATTTTAATACAGAGTAATTCTTATTTGTGTCAATATTTTCCGTTCGCTTTGGACCACACGGGGTTTAATTTCAACAAATCTAATAAAATACTTCAATGCTTGAATATGTATTGGTTTAATGTTTTTGAATATGAAACAAATTTTTAATTAAATTGTATTTGATCATATCTAATTGATACTATTCAATATTATCAAATTTGAAATGAATATTAGAATAATCATAATTTAAATGATGGACAAATAACAAAATAAAGATCGATTTTGAATTCTTTAGGTCGAATCATTTTTTATATATTACGAAGTATACTGTACTTAAAAACACAACTACAAAAACAAGCAAATAATTTACCACAATCGCATCAAGGTTGTGAAAATAGGAAAGTCTGAACTCCAAATATAAATAGAGAATTGTCTTGAAAATATTATGCATTCTTATTTTTTCTGTTTCCACATAAATTATCCTTAATTTGAGAAATTTATCAATGTTTTTTCCCATCCAACATGTCTTAAATCAATATATAGCTTATACGAAGAAAGTCAAGAAACAACAAAATTAAGAATAAATTAAACTAACAATAAAACTAGCAATTATAATAAAATGCACACTATAATTCACTATTTCTAATTATGTCTTGGAACATTTATTGAAATTTAAAGTATTAATTAAAAACGAAAAAATATTGAAGCTATAATAACGGCATTCCAACCTAACTATGTATACTTGCAAACACTATAAACTAAAGTCTCCGTTGTTCTGAAGAAAACTAAGGCACATGTCTAACACACAAATTTGACATCATATATTTTAGAGATATATACAAACAGTAACTTTTGTTATGGTTACTATTTGTATATATCTGTAAAACACATGATGTGAAACTTGGTATAAGTGTAACATGGTCTTTTAAGACAAACCCACAACAATAGGACTTCTAACGTAGTGGACCCCATCGGACCATCGTAGCATGCCGAAGACGGGACCCTCGACTTTCTTCGTAGGCTCCAAAGTGACCTTGAACCTCAGCTCCTCGCCGTGTTTCTTGAACTGCATGACCTGAGGCTCCACCGACACGGCCACGCCTCTCGGCTGGCGTATCCGGGCGGTGTAGTTCCCGGGTTCCCCGACGTTCTTGACGGTCCGGATGACCGTGACCGGACCGGAGAGGGCGGGAACGGAGATGGATGGGTAGTTGAAGCTCAGGAGGTCGAGATTGGTGGGGCACAAGTAGCGGGACCCGCCGGAGAACTGCTTCATGGCCGTGTGGTTGTAGCCGCTCGCGCAGAGGAAGTTGAGGTAGTCGGTCTCGGTCAGGTCGTAGACCAGACCGGGGTCCATCGCCCGGTTCGGCCGGACGTGGCCCGCCCCGTAGTCGAATGGGGTCGCGTCCACGTAGTCCGCGTCCTTCACTTGCCTCCCCGTATTGTCTCTCACTCGCGCTACAAAAATTGTAAAAAAGGGATTTTAATGAATAAATAAAAAGTGAAGTTTGATTTGGGTGAATATAATGAAGCGGTACGGTGGGGTAACTGAATTTACCGGTGGTGGCGAGGGCGGATCTGATGGCGGCGGGGCTCCAGTGAGGGTGGAGGCTGCGGAGGAGGCCGACAATGCCGCTAACGTGGGGACAAGACATGGAAGTCCCCGAGTCAACGTTGAATGGGACCCTACGGGTGTCGAAAGCTTGACCGGTCGGGCTTACTCCTTGTGAGTATGCCGCTATTATGTTCACCCCTGGTGCAATTATATCAGGCTGCACAAGACAGAAAGAATTAGCAACAAAAAATATTTAAGCAAATAAAAACATAGAGAAACAACATTTTAATTAATTGAACAAAACAAATACTCTGTAACATAAATGTGACCTTTAGGATTTCTGGAGTGACACTGTTTGGACCCCTCGATGAGAACGCGGCCATGACGGGAGCCGGTTTGGTCGGCAGCACCGCCTTCGAGGGCGTAATATACCCTCGCGGATCCCTGTCGTTTTTAAAATGACGCAAATTTTAAGATTAAGTCGCGACATTTGAATATTTTTTTTATGTTACTAGAAGGAAAAGAAAATGAGAAGATAAATACGTGGAATTGGCGAGGTAGCGGAGGAGCTTGAGACCGTCGAGGTAGGTGATTTGAGTGGCGGGCAAGAGGTGGGCGTCAGCGATGACGTCATTGGCGCTGGCCTCGTCGTTGCAGAGAATCATCCCGGCGGCTCCGGCGGCGGCCGCCACCTGCCCTTTCTCAACCCGGGCGTTGACTCCCCGGGTGCACACCAGTATCTTCCCCTGAGCCTTGTTTGGATCGATGCTTCCCGGCATGCACAGCGTCCTGCACCGTCGTCCATCATCATTTATTCAGAACAAAATAAAAAAGACCGTCCAAACATGGACTTGAATTTGGTTGTATTATTGTTTGAATTGAATTTCTTACGCGTTTTGTGCGGTCGAATTGGGAGCTTTAGCGTCAGCTGAATTGATCAGTGGATACCACTTCTGCGGCATTGCTGAGGAAATGCTTGTTCCCTGCCAAATTATAAAAATGTCTTTATTATTGAATTTATCACAACTTTCAAAATTGTATTTCATTATGTTAATACGTAGTATATAATACAAATTGAAAGTAATTGAAGTTCAAAGTTATAAAAACGACTTTATTGAATTTATCGTATCGAGAACTTTCAAAATTATATTTCATTATGTTAATATATAATACAAATTGAGGGTAATTGAAGTTCAAAGTTTATCCAGTTTGATTCAAAAAAATTGAAATGGACAAATACACTGAGACGGAGGTAGTACCGATTAAAAATAGTAGAAGTAAAAATACCTTGATAAACAAACCATTTTTGAGGTAAACGTTAGCTTGGAACTCTCTGTCAAGAGTGCTCGCGCCGACGGTGATAATCCACGGTGCCACGTTGGACACGGTCCCGGCACCGGGCCCGCTGTTTCCGGCGGAGCAAACGACGGCCACGCCCCTGCGGACGGCATGGAAGGTGGAGACGGCGATCCCGTCAACAAAGTAGTCCCCCGGGTCGCCGCCAAGGGACATCGAGATGACGTCGACGCCGTCGTGGATGGCGGCGTCTATGGCCTTGATGATGTCGGAGTCGTAGCACCCGCCTTCCTTGGCTGGCCAGCACACCTTGTACGCCGCCACCCGGGCGGCCGGGGAGCCGCCCTTCGCGGTGCCGTTCCCGACGCCGAACACATTGGCGCCGGGGACGAAGGCGCCGCCGGCGGTGGAGAGGGTGTGGGTGCCGTGGCCCTCGAAGTCTCTTGGGGTGTTCATGTAGTCGCTCAAGTTGTTGCGCTTATCTGCTAGAAACCCTTTGTTGAAGTACTTTGCTCCTATTAACTTCCTACAAAATTTTCAAAACCAAACCCAACCTTACAAATAAATAAAACTTTGTATTTTTAAAGTCATTTTCCTAAATAGCAATTAAATTATTTTATTCCCTAAATAGCACTAATGGATAATGACTAAAAGTGCTACATTGAGAAAAAACACATATGATGCTATTTAGAGAAAGTCATTACGTTTTAGTGTTATTTACGTAAATTTCTACTTTTTAAAAATCTATGGCAGAGAGATATGGAGTACATTTTTCCATAATGTGTAACAAAAAGTGTATAAAAGTAGACTAAAAATGCTGTAAAAAAAAGTTTTTTTGGAACAGAAAAAAGTATAATAGATGACGTGATATACAGAGAAAGTGAAAATAATAGAAGTACCTATTACAACGAACGCCGGTAGGGCTGGTTTCATTTTGGCAAGACCCTTTCCATCTTTTAGGGACAGGGCCCAAACCATGGTCTTTGAAGCTTTCTGACTCCGGCCAAACACCTGTATATAGTCCCAATTCAATAGCCCATTAATTTCTAAAATTATGTACGATATCCGTCTCATTGTATTTATCCAGTTTAATTTTTTTGAAATTTAGACGTCAATTAAATAAATATAATAATGTATTTTAGTATAAAGATTGTTCTAATAGATTTATCTTGTTGACTCGAAAAAGTTTAACTGAATGACTTTAAAAAAAAATGTTGTCCTTATTCCATAAGAGAATATACTAAGATTGATGATCATACACACCTGTATCAAGATTTGCAATGATAACGTCTTTGCCAAACATGGCCTTATTCCAGAGAGAATCAGAATGGACCACACCATTCTTCTCCATGTTCATAAACTCCCATGAATGTGTAGTGTGAAGCTTTCTCTTGTTATCCAAGAATAGTGACACCACCTCCGGATGCTCTACACATATCCAATCAAACCAAAATTCATCAATTATGCACCTAATTAATTAGTTATACCTCTAATTACAAAATTAATGAAATAAATAAATTTCCTGTAAAAAATAGTACTCCCTCCGTTCTAAGTTATTGTGTGTCACAACTTTAAAATAAAAACACATGAATAAAAAATTGAGTAGATGATAAACACTTATTGAAAAAACAAAGAGTACTGCTGCAGTATTGTGACGTATTAAGAATATACGTACTGGAAATCTCAGCGGCTTCGTGTTCTTCTAGGAGAGCTGCAAAGCCGTTGATATGTCTTTTGTAGGAGTAGATCATGGCATCCTTAGCCTTCTCATCACTTCAACATGTAAGAGTCCATTAATTAATTAAAATGATGAGTATATATGTAGAAGTTTGGAATAACAATAATGTATCAAATTAATAGGGAAAATAATTGTAATTTATGGACCAAATGAATAACAATAGGTTAAAAGAAGTAATTAAACCCAAAAAAAACATTATTATAATATAATATAATACCTCCCCAAGAAGGAGGCAAGGAATTGATGATGTGCGTGGGTCACACGACCAAGATCTTCTGTGGTTACCTCCGCACCATGGGAATGTCCTCCCAAGTACACTATGTACGACTGCATGCATATATAAATATATAAATATATTATTGCCATTTTTCAAATATTTGTTATTATGTTCAAATAATCTTCAAATTTTGACTTTACATACATAAAGGAGTTTAAGAAAGGTAAAAATAAGTGAAATTTGTAGGAAGATTAAAGACATTTAGAAAATCATAGTGAGAAGATAATTCATGGATCAGATGGAAAAAAATATTTCTCTAAAGATTATTTGTATTAATAATCTTATTTTATACGGAGTAATACTTTAAATGTATTTTAATTGTGAAGTTTATAAAGTTTGAAAACATAAAAATTTTTCAAAACACAAAAATGAGGACAAAATTTAAAAGTAATACCAAAACAATACTTGGAGGAATAATAAAATATAAATACTGGGCCGGGGAAGAAATCAAATACGCATGCCAATCCCAGATCTGTACTTCAAATGCAATTAAGCAAATCATACTGATTTATTTGCAAAATATTATTAGGGCTCCCACTGCAGCAGCACTGGACAACCAATAAAATTTCAAAAAAAAAAAAAAAACACACACACACACACATATAATTTGATTCAAATCAAAATGATGCACAGTGAAAGAACTGGAAATACATACAATCCATTCGATTTAAGATCTAAAGGTTATTAAAAATAACAAATCTGAAATAAAAATGAAAAAATTACGGTGGTAATTACATTAATAAGTCGAACATTTCTGTAAAATACACAACTACAAGTGTAAAATGCATCGCGGTGGCCTCATCCTGGGAGTAAAGTCCATCCATCCATTCATATTCATAATAATAACACAAAGAAGAGAAGAATTGAAGTGATGATTAAAACAGTCACGTGCATGCATTCAGTTACAAAAAAACAAACAAAAAGCATAGTAAAAAAAAAAAGAGAAAAGTAAAAACCTTTTTGGCTGCAAAAGCTGGGGATGGGAGCACGCACAAAGCCAGCAAGAAGAAGAAGAAGAAGAGAGTAAACACAAGACTTGAGAGCTTGTAATTATCAGAAGAGGCCATTATGGTTTGGTTTGGTGCCAATGAATTCCTCAACCGATTCAAAGAACCAATTGACGACTCGATCTCTCTCTACTCTTTGTATGTATATATATATAGATATAGATAGATATATAGATGTGGTTTAATTTGATGGAATCATAATAAACAATGATTAATAAATTCCTATTAGGAATAATATAAGGAGTTGGAGGCTACTAGGAGTACGTGTAGGTCGAGGAGACCATTTGATTCTATATTTATTATTAGGAGTTGAATTTACCAAATATAAAGATTTAATTAATAATTCGGGAGAGACTATAATTCTAATCCAATTAGTATCATGATGATGATGATAACAAGATATATATATGCTAATTAGCGACAAATAGGGCTTGATTTGCTTGAGTTTAAATTTCATTCTTGTTTTTATTAGGTATATACACTCCCTAATTATCCTCTTTCTTTTTTTCGTCAACTTTTTATTCCGAGTAATTAATTCGATCGTTATTGGTATTTTTTAAGGAAGATCAATAGTCATTATTAAGATATTTTTCCTTGGAAATCTCACTAAGATATATACATACAAATATACATTTCTTCCATTTCAACATAAATTAAACATGTCAAATTTGTACTAAATAATATTGTACTAAAATATACTCCCTCCGTTCTAAAAAATACTTCCTCTTTCATTTTTTTCACTTCCAACAAAACACTTCTACTTTCTATTAAAAAATCACTTTTACCCTTACTTTTTCATACCATACCTATCACATCATATTTTTTTCCTAATAATCTATCCATCACATCTTACTTTTACCCATCACATCAGGGGCAAAATTGGAAGTCAACTATAATTTAACACTTCCCTATTTTGGCTCCAAGTCAAAGTAGGAACCTTTTTTTTTGCAAACGGAGGGAGTATTGCATTTAAAAATGTACTACTTAAACATTTTATTTCCTAAATAATATTTGAATAATGTATAATGACGATGAACATTTATTTAAACAATGAGCAGTTGATAATGACCAGCGGTACTACATTGAAAAATAAAAACATATGGTACTACATTGTGAACATTTTTATATTTTAGTAGTACTATTTAGGTAATGTCCCCATTAAACATCTTCTTCCAACTTCTCCCATCGCTTGACTGGTAGGAAGCTCACTCTCAGGATTCATGGGGAAATTCACCCAGGTTCGAGTCCTACCGAAGACAGAAGTATTAGCTCTTTGTCCGTCATGAGGTTGAGAATAGTATGAACAGATACTACCTTGCAATAGAGTCAATAACATTCAAAAAACATCCTCTTCTAATTTACAATGCGTGACAGATATATTTTATTCCATTTATGACACATATTTCCAAATGATCTGCATATAGGCCCTTATTATTAATAATTGTTGGATAATGACTTATTATTATACAAAAACTCTATCAATTTGGTCATTAGCAATAATAAGTGTTGGATAATGAGTGATTATTTTAAATGACTATTCAATTTGTTTTTAATAATGTCTTATTCTACTTGAATTATACAATAGGTCTTTTTTCAAAAACAGAGCATTTTAGAACATTCCATTGTCAACCGTTAGTCCTATTTATGAAAAAGTGATATGTTTAAGTCTCATTTACTTCAATTTCTCATTTAAATTGCCTGTTTTGGTTTACGATGTTTGACTGAAACTATTTTTAAATCATTTTATATGAAAAATTATGTAGAATTAAAAAAATAAAAATTACATATTTAAAAACTAGATCAAAAGATCTAAAAAAACCAGTGGTGAACTGGTGACATTACTATATATTTTATTTTATCAAATGACTAATGGAATTAGAGAGAAAAAGTGAATGATGTTTGACTATGTGAATAGTAAACATGCAATTTAATTTGAAATAGAGGGAGTACAAAATAATCAGGAGGTGACATGATTATATTAAACTTTCATATCAGCAATGAAAATTAACAAAGAAGTTCATAAAATTTGATCGATCATGTAAATATGGTTGATGTGCAAACTCCATCCCACATCGGAAGTGGAGAACAAAAACGAGCTAAATAAATATGGTTACCCAACTGTATTAGTATTGTGCCTTTTGGGAGGTATCCTAAAATAAATCGGTGAAAGCTTGAACCAAAGAGGACAATATCATAGTAATGCATGTTTTGGGTGAAGGTACGCATGGTCCCAACATTTGGTGTCGGAGCCTGAGCTCGTTCGGGCCGGAGTAGCAGGCTGCGTTGTGTGGAGTTCTCGATGTTCCCGGTGTAACTACCTGACCGAAGGTTTGCAGGAGATGCATTGTGTCGAAAGTCTTCCTGACAAGTGGTCGCCAGGCAGCTGTGTCCCGTTTGGTGTTAGCGGCGGTACAAGATGGTTTGGCATTAGTATATATGAGGCTTTTGGGAGGTGACCAAAAACTAATCTGTGAAAGCTTTGCCCAAAACGAACAATATCATACTAATGCAAATTTTGGGTGAGGGTACGCGCGATCCCAACATGTCGTATCAGAGCCCGGGTTTGTGTGGGCTGGAGTAGTAGACTGCTTTATGTGGAGTTCTCGGTGTCCCCGGTGTGACAACTTGACCGAAGGTTTGATGACAAGTGGCAGGCAGTGTCCCATTTGGTGTTAACGACGGTATAGGTATGCGGTTTACCTTAGCGATCAAATGGTGTGACCTTAGCGACTAGTGGGATGCGGTTCACCTTGTGCCAAAAGTCTTCTCGATAGGAAAAGATTGGGCGATGTGTCCCGCTGGTGTGTAACGGCAGCGCAAGATGGATGGTGTGCAAATCAAACGGATAATCGCTAAGCTTATGTTTGGTTCAAGGAATTGAGGAAGAAAGGAAAATGATAAGGAAAAGAAAAGAAAAGAAAGGAAACTCAAAATCCTAGTTATGTTTGGTTAAGATGGAAATTAATGAGGAAAATGTATTCCCATGCTCTTTTTGTTTGGGTAGAAGAAAATTTGGTGAGAAAACAATATATATTGTGCTTGACAGCTATTGTGCTTCGCATATCCATTCACATGGCTCCTTCAATTCCAACCTCATTTAACCACACTTCACTAATTCCAAGAAATATATTCACAGCTAGAAAGAAGCAGATTCACCCACAGTATGAAATTTACTAAAGCTTACAAACAACCCAGTATTTTCATTGCCAAAGGTTAATGACAAAAAAATAAAACCCAAAAGAATGAAAGCTTAACAGCTGCAACATCATTATTCAAAGTGGAGACACACAGAATGACAAAAAAAGGAATGAAAGCTTAATCACAGTTTATAAAAAGAGCTATGAATTTTTTAAACAAGAAAATAAAGAAGCATAAAAGGAGACACACAATGAGACAAAACACATAAAAAGAAGCATTATACTGGTTGTGAAACAAGACCAAAATGTGGAGAGACAAACCCTTCTAACAAGAGGCAACATAATAAACATCTCTATATGCATAAAGCATAATAAACGAAAATAGTAACAAATCCCCCGTCCAGACACAGAGCAGGGTGCACAAGCAGGGCGCACATCTACACCAATTCATCATCAAAAATTTCTTCACCAAATTTTACGCATAGCCACAACTTTTTATGCACCGTTGGACACTTGTGAAAAGCACGAGCAGCGCTCACATCACCAGTAAGCTTTTGATATATAGTCATTTGAGAGAACTCGGACATTCCACCAACTGAAGCAATCTCATCGAACAAATCTTCTTCAGTATAATTGCGTTGGTTACCAAGTTTAATTGCAGTAGCAACTTCGCCTATGCTAGCAGTCAAAAGTGATATTTCTTCACTTACTACATCTACCATTCTTGTCTTCTTCTTCTTTGGTTCTTCGATCTTTGATGTAGAAGATTCTTCATTATTATTTTGTTTACCAACTTCATCATTCACTGCATCTTCTTCATTCTCCTCCATATAATTTTGTTCTTTTGCCCATTGCATCTGTCGTTGTTTGGCACTGACTGCCCGACTCCCTGTAGCACGGTCTTTTCCAAACAACTCATCCAAGATTTCATAGCATGGAATTGGATTATATTTCAAGAATGCAGCTTTTGGCTTTGCCTATAAAGGACAAAAATGGATGCAACCAACAAACTTCAGGCTCAAAACATAAGAAACACAACAAAACAGCTAAAGAAAAAAAAGAACAATAATGGGACACAACTCTTTTGCATGACACTATGCCAACATAAATTAAAGTGTGTTTGGCTGCCATTAATGCCCCCTGCCCAAAGAAGCACCAGATTCCAAAGTCAAGAGATATTGAATGGGCATAATTAGGAAAGATTCTGCCTGTCATCTTTTCCTTCTCTTTGCCTACAGTATTTTATTACGCCTAGGATATTAAAGTTCTTCAAAAAGCATAAGAACATAAACCTAAGTTTCCACTGCACCATCTAGTAAAAACACAAAAAAAAAACTCTTGCCTTAGGCCAGGCAGCCAGTGACACCACACACTGGGAAAACACAATCACCCCATCTAGTAAAAACACAAAACCATGCCCCAAAGTATTATAAATAAATGCTTCACTTAAAACATGCTTCAGTAGATCATAAATAATCAAAAACTTTGAGAAGTGTAGGTTACCTTAAGGTAGGCATCCCATACCCCTTCCTCAGCTTCAAGCATTTTGGTTGAAAAATTAAAGCCAAATCCGCTGCCATTTTGCATAATATCTTTAACCATGCCAAGGTGTTTCTTCAATGTCTTAAGACGATTCCTGATATGAGTAGGACCACATAGGATATTAAACTTAGAAGAGACATTTTTTGATACCACATTGTAAGCTGTACTTGAGAAAACTCCACCGATCTTTTGTCCTTTTAGCTTTTGCTCCATGAGAGAATCAAGAAGGAATTCATCCATGTCAACACTCCACTTGAAATTCTTTTTTTCACTGCCAGTCAAGTCCTCTGTATTATCTTCATACTAAATTAATAAAAGTAATAGGAAAGTTACAATAGATGTTAGTGTCAAAATACTATAAAATTTCACAATATCCATCATAAAATGACAAAAAGCATTCAAAAGAAAAACCAAATTGTTTCAACACCCATAAGGTAATTATGAAGAATGCAACATGCTAGCACAATGTCTGCTTGAGTATCCACGTTGAAATGAGATTCTGCTCCACTTCGTAACATCGGAAACTTCTTCTTTAGAACTCCAAAAGCTCGTTCAATTGCATTCCTTAAGGAAGCATGTCGTAGGTTGAAAAGTTCACGCGAGTTTTGTGGTTCGTGAAGACTAAACTCCTTCAAATGATAGCGAGTACCCCGAAAAGGAGCAAGAAATCCAGTTTTTAGTTGATAACCAGCATCAACCAAAAAGTATTTTCCTAGGTCAAAAATATATATAAATATATATTTTTAGTAATGATAAATCATAAGAAAAAATCGTACCACATAAATAATATATTTATTGTCTTATAATCACCTTGAGGGACTATTAAGCGGTCATGCTCTTTAGTTAAAGCGTCTTTCAATATTCTAGAATCCGAGGCTGATCCTTCCCAACCAGACATAACATAGGTAAACTTTAGATCAAAGGTGCATGCGGCAAGAACATTTTGAGTTGGGTATGATTTACGCCCTCGATATCTTGGTGCATCACCACTCGATACTTTCACACGAAAGTGTGAGCCATCAAGTGCACCTATACACTCCTGTAGCCCTGTAGGAGACTTAATTATGAATATAACTAAAATAAATATTATTTCTATATTTTCTTTGTAAAAAAGTATGTTACCTTAAAATATGGATAGTATCTGGAGTTGTTCTTGATCTCTATAGGGCACTCTTTCCATCATTTTGCTTTAAAAGCAAATCTTCTAAAGAGATTATAGCTTTAAGCACTTGTTTAAATTGGCGACTTATAGTTTCACCGGAACGCCTGAAATCAAACTTAATTTTTCTATTCCTTAAATTATGACCTACTACATAAAGAAACCTTGCTACTTGCTCCTCTATGCTACTATGTCGAGTATCTCGAAGAAGACCTCTTCCTCTAAGAATATTTACTAGATTTGCAAATGCACCTTTCCTCATTCGTAACTGTTCACGACAGTCCTCATCATTCATATTTTTCAAACGTCTTATCAAACTTTGCCTTTCATAGTCTCTTTCTATTATACTCTCATCATTTTTGTGATTTGGCCCTCGAATTAATGAGATAAGAAAAATAGCATAGGTGGCATAGGCTACAACACAAGCAGCAGCCCACTTTCTGAATTTTTCCCATCGCTCCTCATCATCATCTACATCCATCTAGACATATTGATGCACGGAAAAATATTCAAAGGATATAAGAAAGTTGTACATAAGAAGGATGATAACTTTGATTTGTCACTCATCTACACAGATTTTAAACTTATAAATGGAGGTCAAAGTCTCCAATTATCAAATATATAAAACCATTTAATGGGGGACTTGAAATATCAAATACATAAAACCATTTAAAACATTGTGAACTTTGCATAGAATGTACAACAGGAACACATTATTTATCTTTTTCAAAATGAAAACAGAACTTTCATGAAACCACTAAACATTGTATGTGAACTTTGCATAGAGTGAAGACATTATCTCAACTCGTTTTTAACAATGGGGCATACATATTCCATGAAGAATAACAGTTCATCAAACACATAAAAGAGAATCTAGGACTTACATGCTCAGTGTCGTGCACAAATTGAGTGTCTGAAAAAGCTTCAAATTCACGATCGCTCACCCCAGATGAAGAAGAATAGAGGGCCTTCTTATAGTGCTTTTTGTGGGTCTTTGATTTTGATGAAAAATTGGGTCAGATATTGTTTCCACGGGAAATTGATGGTGTACGTTTGGTGGCACAAACTTACGCCTAGGCATTGATGTGTTTTGGCGAGAAGACATTGCAGCAAAACCGAAGAAATTCAGTGACAATTGAATGGAGAGAGACGGCGGTTTATCGCAATTAGGGTTGCGATTGTTTATCGCAGCAATTAGGGCTGCGATCGATGTTCAGAGATGAGAGGCACGATTATGAGAGGCACGATTAGGTTTAGAGAGGTGAGCGTGAAGACATGGTAGAGACGGGAGCGAAGGTTTCAGAGACGGGAGCGATTCGGAGACGGGAGCGATGGATTCTCTCGTTTTCCGTCGGAAATCGGGAGGAAAATGATTTTGCCCTTTTTTTAATTCATTTTCTCCCCATTTTTCCTTTCCTCTCACTTTTCCTTTCCTTTTCTCACTAACCAAACATAAAAAAACATTTCCCACCAATTTTCTTTTCTTTTCCCAGCCAAAATCCTTTAACAAACATAGTGTAAAGGAGAGGTCACGGGATTGAATGGTCGGGATTTGAGGGGAGGTTCGTTGAGGTGTAAGAGTGCTGGCAGCGCCAGGTATAATGTTTGGCTCACCCTGCCACATGAGCCGCGGGAGAAGATAAGCGAGGCATGGCATCCGTTCCAATTTCTTCCCAATTTCTTTTTTTTTTATTAATTTTTTTTTAAAATTCTTTTGTTTTTTGTACAAAAAGAGAAAGCTTTTTTAAAAAAAATTGAGGACATTTATTTTTATTAAAAAAGATAATTAAAATAAAATTAAACGATACTTTATTTTTAAATTAGATCAAAGTCAAACCATTATTAAATCAACTATAATCTGTTATGGGATAATAAATTTTTTTTGTTTTCAAGATTATGATATTCTACAATAACTTCATATGATAAAAATTAAAAAGATATACACAACACGCATATACATATTTTTATATGTCTGCACATATTTTTATTTGTCTACACATTCATTTTGTATATAAAAATGTCTCGTACTTTGAAAAATCAATAGAGAAACAAAATATAAACATAAAAAAAGTAAAAATTATATATAACGGGTCAGATATTTGAATAAACGGTAATTTAAACGGATGCATATTCGGATCAAAATTTAAACGGATCAAATATACAATTATCAAATTCGTATCTATTTAGTAACCGGATATCCTTAATCTCAATAATATGAGTTTAAAAAGAATGGTGATATTTCTTCGATATGGATACCTACTGTAATTGGATTTTGACTGAGGTGAGGTTGAGTTCCAACCACTATCTTCCTCTTGTGCGACCTATATCCGTGCGACCTACAGATTGGCCGATTGCCTAGCCGTAAGCCGTACTCCGCCTCTCCGGCAGCCTACTCGCTGGCCCTCCGGCCTCCACCGTCCACCTCTCTTATTGTTCTGTCCGACTTCCTTTGATTTGAATCTTGGGTCCGCCGCCACTGAATCATGACGACTCTTCTTGCGCAAGGGGCATCGCTTTTCTCAGCACGGATGATCACTGTCCCACCTAAACCCATCAAAGTCTCCTTGTTTTTACCGAATCCATCGAACCCAAGAACCCCAAATTCGAGGAATTTCAGTGCCAGAGTCACCCCAGGTGAAGAACCATCCCCTTCCGCACACGATAAATTCCTGAATAGGGACTATAAATGGGGTTTCAATCAGGAGATAGATTCCTTCGCGCTGCCAAAAGGTCTATCCGAGGAAACTGTTCGGTTTATTTCTGCTAGGAAGAATGAACCCGATTGGATGCTCGATTTCAGATTGAAGTCATATGAAAAATTCATGAACATGAAAGAACCCAAATGGTCTGCTAACAGGTACCCAGCGATTGATTTTCAGGATTTATGTTATTACTCCGAGCCTAAAAAGAAACCAACCATTAATAGCTTAGATGAGGCAGACCCAGACCTGATTAGGTACTTTGATAAGCTCGGCGTGCCTTTAAACGAAAGAAATCGATTGGCCAATGTTGCAGTTGATGCTGTTCTTGACAGTGTTTCGATCGCAACTACTCATAGAGAGACCCTAGCGAAATCTGGAGTCATTTTCTGCTCTATATCTGAGGCCATCAGGGAATACCCAGACTTGGTTAGGAAATACTTAGGGCGAGTCGTCCCCCCTGATGATAACTTTTATTCTGCATTGAATTCGGCTGTGTTTAGTGACGGGTCGTTTGTGTACATTCCTAAGAATACGAGGTGCCCTATGCAAATCTCAACGTATTTTAGGATAAATGCCATGGAAACCGGCCAGTTTGAGAGGACTCTGATAATTGCTGAAGATTCCAGTTTTGTGGAGTACTTAGAAGGGTGTACAGCTCCACAGTATGATACTAAACAGTTACATGCTGCTGTTGTGGAGTTGTACTGCCATGAAAATGCTGAGATTAAGTACTCCACCGTGCAGAACTGGTACGCCGGGGACGAAATGGGAAGGGGAGGAATATATAACTTTGTTACAAAGAGGGGACTTTGTGCTGGCAATAGGGCAAAGATATCGTGGACGCAAGTGGAGACGGGGTCCGCTATCACGTGGAAGTACCCGAGTGTTGTTCTTGAGGGAGACGAATCTATTGGGGAGTTTTATTCAGTCGCGCTCACGAATCACCACCAGCAAGCTGATACAGGAACCAAGATGATACATAAGGGGAAGAACACGAGGAGTCGGATCATTTCCAAGGGTATTTCTGCAGGGCAATCTAGTAATTCTTACAGGGGGCTTGTTCAAGTTATGTCGAATGCTGATAATGCAAAAAACTCGTCGCAGTGTGACTCTATGCTTATTGGGGACAATGCTGCAGCCAACACTTACCCATATATTCAGGCGAAAAATCCCACTGCTCGGATTGAGCACGAGGCCACAACATCAAAAATTGGGGAAGATCAGCTGTTCTACTTCCAGCAGAGGGGAATCGACTATGAAAGGGCCATGGTGGCCATGATTTCTGGGTTTTGCAGGGATGTTTTCAATGAGCTTCCCGATGAATTTGGTTCCGAAGTTAAAGAATTGATGAGCTTGAAACTTGAATCTTCAGTTGGTTAGGCTCACGGATGTGGCTCTGTAAGTGCGATTAATATTTAAATTTATGTGATTAATCACAAGTACCGAGTAGCTACTACTACTCCCTCTGTCCCTAAAAGAAGTTCTTGTTGTTGCGAGTTACGATGTTTGACTGAAATTATTCTCAATCAATTTATTTGAAAATAAACGTGGATTTAAAAATAAAATCCATATATTTAGAATCTACATTTAAAACTTCTACAAAACAAGAGTTGACAATGATATATTATTTTATCAAATAAGTAAAAGTTGGCAAAGAAAGAAGTCAAAGTTGATCTTGTGCATAGTAAACATGAACTTCTTTTAGGACGGAGGGAGTGATAATTACTTAAGACTTGTTTTTTTACAGCTTGACATAATGCCTGCGTAGAGCATTTGTTGGTGATTTATAAGTGCTGTAATTAGTTTAGTACTTTAGTATTGTCTCCATCCCATTTTAATTGCATGTTTTCCTTAGTTTTTTCGTCTGTCCCAAATTAGTTTGCGTGTTTCCTTTTATTGAACGCTTTTTGTTTTGAACCGGAGGTCTCTTCGAGCCAACTCTCTCCTTCCCAACCCCTCACTGTGGGATATTTCTGGGCACATTATTATTGTAACTTTTTATGGGCTACCAAGTCAATATCATGTTATTTATCCTTTGGTCTTTTTGTTGGGATCCTGCTATGCATTCTAGTTTATATGAATCAGAAAGAAAAAAAAGAATCTTTGTATGTTGAGTGAGCAAAATTCTTGATTTAGTAGGGTTTGAAAACTTTCAGGTTTGACACAACAAAGAAATCTTATACTCGTATTTGTATTTCGTCTGTAGATTTTATTTGTTCAAGAAGTTTAGTAGGGACTTCATCTCTAAGTGAGCCATATCTTATAACTTTACTGTCAATCCTTTTGTATTTTCGAATATATATATTGCTGGCAGAAGCAGAAGCAGAATCATGTGTTCATTCTCACCACATCTATGGCTTTGACACAGGGAAGTTTGGGACAATTGATTCAGGTTTTCTTATGGGAGTTTGTGAACTTGGCTTTAATTTATGGAGTATTTGTTTTTGAGCCATTGAAGGGTGGGTGACAAAATCCACTCATTTTGCTATCTTCTTATGATATCTGAGACATTGTGTGGCTCTCTTTTGGATGCATGGTTGAAGATGCTCTTATAGTGTTAGTATAGCAAGCACGGTTGAAAACGCTCTTATAGTGTTAATATTTTTTCCTTATATATCCAATAAGATGTGGTACTTTGAGTTGAACTTATACTCTAATTGTTTATTACTTCCTCCGTTCCATAAAACTTTTCGAAGACGAAAAAAGGCACTATCTAAAAAGTGTGTAATTTTGATATTATTTTCTAATTTTGTCCTTACTTTATAATAAGATATGATATGATGTGTAGGCCACATGAGTAGTAATTAGAAAATATATCAAAATTAATTAGTTTTAGGGTGTGTTTTTTTGTCTTTGAAAAGTTTAAAGGGACGGAGAAAGTATTTATTTCCTATTAGTTTAAATACGCCTCCGGAGGTGAGCTAAAGGTAACTAACCCATGTGCTATTCTGATTAAGTGTCATTTTTGCTAAGACATCTGCAAAACAATTTTGCTCTCTCATAACATAGATGACTTGCAGACTCCAATTCATCGCTACAAACACTAACATTTTTCAAATTCTTTGACCAAGCCCATTTAAGGCCTTTGAGGATTGCCATAGCTTCAATTTCTTGCACGTGATTTTGATCATTTTTTTTCTTCTTCTTAAAATTTAATTACCTAAGCTTGGTTTAATTTCCCAAAATGCATGCAATATGTGTTGGATGAGGGATTTCTAAAGATGACGACCCAAACTTGAAACTACTTGTGCATATCTTTTCCATTCAAAATATTAGCAACAGTTAAAAGTTAGGAAAAATTGCCCAAAATAGTTCCAACTTTACCCGCTCTTTTAAAAATAATCTCACCTTTTACTGTGATGCATAATAATCCCAACTTTACTGAAATTTGTCAGTTTTGGGTCGCCGTTAAGTTTCTAACGGAGGGATAACGTAAATGCTCGTTTTAGACAACAAAATGAAAGTTGGGATTATTTTTGATGAATTTTTGTTTTTTAATTTTTTTTGAAATTTTCATTTAAATTTTTTAAATTACTTTCTACCTCCATCATCATTTATTTTTCCTTTTTTAAAGATTAGTCTTAGTTTAAAAAATAAAAACAATAGATATAAAAAATGAAAAAATGAGAAATGTAAGTAAAATGGTACAAAAATAATAAATTAAATAAGGTAGTCAATGAAAACTAACTTGAAATTGGAAAAAGTAAAATAAAAATATACGGGTGGGTTTTAATATTTTAGGCATTATACAAAGCATTAACATATCACTTTTTATTTTTTAGAAAAAATTATCTACAATAATTCCAACTTTACCGGACGGCTTGTTCTTTTAAAAAATAAGTAGTACATTAAGACTCCGTATAGTGTGTAAAATGTTAAACCCACGACTCCATATATATTTATTTTATTTCTTACCAGTTTCTGTTTAATTTATATTGATTACATTATTTATTTGATTAATTTTGAATGGTTTTAGTTATTTTTCTCATTTTCATTATTTTTTATATCTATTTTTTTCTAAGGTAAGAATAATCTTTAAAAAAGAAAAAGAAATGGAGGTTGAAAGTAATTCAAAAAATTTAAATAAAAATTTCAAAAAAAAATTAAAAAACAAAAATTCATCAAAAATAATCCCAACTTTCATTTTGTTGCCTAAAACGGGCATTTCCGTTATCCCTCCGTTAGAAACTTAACGGCGATCCAAAATTGGCAAATTTCAGTAAAGTTGGGATTATTATGCATCACAGTGAAAGGTGAGATTATTTTTGAAAGACCGAGTAAAGTTGGGATTATTTTGGGTAATTTTTCCTAAAAGTTATAACCCTTTTTTTTAAATTTTTCTTTCTGTAATTAATCACTTCTGACCAAATAATCTTTACAAAGCCGACAGTCCAACATAAGAATATTGAGTAAATTACCACGTTTCCATAATGTAAGCATCAAACCTTTCTGGCACATCCTAGGAAAATACTCATCCCTCTACCTCATTATTGTTTCACTTTACTATTTACAGGTCTAACTTTTTTTCTATTTTTATATTTATTTTCGTTACTCATTTGTTAAGATGATATAGTTAGTCATGTCATTGATCTCTTTGTACAGAATTTGATGTGATTTTTAATGGATAAATTTTATTTTAAAATTTTATATCATCATTTAAATAAATTAAATTGAAAATAGTTCCACTCAAATCTTGTTGTCCTGAGTCAATTATTTTGGGACGGAGGAAATCATTAAAGAATATACTGGGTATATAATCATGATAATTAAGGATTGAAGGGAAAATGAAGTATTGATTTTTAATTTGCAGCTAGTCCACAATCATGATTATCATGTTTTGATTTGTTTTTTTTCTAATGTAGGGTTAGAATTAAGTATCTCTCCTACACCATATATACCTACTAATTAGCAGTTGCATGCATGGCCATAATTGCCACAAACTATATGATGAGTAAATCTTAATTTGAGTATGGAATTGACAAGGTAACACCAAGCTCCACTAGCCAAACAACCTGAAATTGGAAGTTGATATGTAAAGAAGCAATGAATTGTTTGACAATAATTCCAATCTTTAATTTCAATAATAATTAATAATATTGAAAAGACTATTTAATTACAGTGTATCATTTTACTTTAATGTTTTATAATCATCGCTGAATTCGACGTTAATCTACATTTGAACCACCATCATTTTGTAAATCCTATCAAGCGATAAGTATTTTACAATTTATCTGACATGTTTACTTTGAAAAACCATATCCAAAACCTTAAGCTAATTATAATAAATACATAGATCTTTTCATTTTCTTTTCATTTTCTTTTACTTGGTAATTGGTATTTATGCATAACTCAATATTCCCTCTGTCTCTGAGTTAGTATTTATCCACTATTGATTTTTTAGTCAAAATTAGTAAATTTTGATCGTAAATTAAATAAATATGATATTAAATATTGATACAAAAATAATTTTATTAGAGACATTTTATAAAATATTTTCAAAATATTATTTTATCTAATTAATATAAACTATATATTTTATTTAATTGTAGGTCATATGTTAAAAATGATTGATTACAAAAAGTCAAAACTGGACAAAAGTAGTCTTAGGATAAACTAATTACCTAGCTTGAAGTAAGGCTATGTGTTATGGGGCATGAGAAGGGACTTGATTCACCCTCAATCACGTCCCTCTACGATTACAAATTTACCGTGAATGCCCTTTTAAAAGTGATCACCATCATTCCGTGGTGAGGCTTCTCCCTTGCTAATTTTTTTAAATATTTCAATCAATCAAAATTTAATGTATATTCACATCTCATATCTTTCATTTACAATCATGATCACTATAAAATACCCATTAAGACCCGTCAAGCCCTACCATAACATATGATCTAAAAGGTAAGTTGGTCAACATGGGTTTTTGGTAAGCTCTTAATAACCATCCATCATGAAAACGACGTTTGGTCCAATGAAGGCTAACTTTTTTAAATCTTAGTGACAACATTAATGATTCATGTGTTTAATGAAGTCAGCTCAATTATGTGATGTAACACTACACGTCTCCTAAATGTTTCCCCTTTTCTATTTCTATCTACTCTTTTGGGAACAACGTAACATACCTTCCATCACTTTTCAATCCCTTGACTTGCACTAAGGGTATGTTTGGTTGGAGGTAGGTAAAATTTTTATTAGGTAGGTAATGGTAGGTAATTGAAGGTAGGTAAAGTAAGGTAATGTGTAAAAAGAATTGTGTTTGGATGTTTATTAGGTAACGTGAGGTAGGGAAAAATAAAATTACTAAAATATCTTTGAGGTTGTTTTTCTTTATTTGTTTAGGATTTTTTATATGAAATTAAAATTTATTTAAATTTTAAATGTAAAATTTTAAAATTAAATAAACACTCTAGTAGAGAAAGAGTGAAAGGAAAACTGAAAATTGAAGTGTAAAAGTGAAAATGGCAAAAAATTAAAGTGCAAAAGCATAGTAGAACAAAAATCGAAGTGCAAAAGTGCAAGGTAGAACGAAAAAAGTGAGAAAAAAATCTGGAAATTGAAAAAGAAAGTAAAAATCGAAGTGCAAAAGTGAAAATTACAGCGATGGGGAAGATTATGCAGTGACAATTGCAGCGAAGGAAAACATGAAGATTATGCAGTGAAAATTGCAGGGAAGGGAAAAATTACAGTGAAAATTGAAAAGTGAAGTGCAAAAAAAATTGAAAATTGCAGCAAAGGGGTTATGGTTATCGGAATGGAATTGAAGAGCAGAGCAGATCGAGAAAAAAAAATGCAAATTGATCTATGGCGATCGAAATACCTGTGGAATGGCGATGGGAAATTGGGAAGTGGGAACCGTAGGAAGATGGCGATGTGCTGCGATCGGGCGAAGGGTAGAGTTACCGTGATAATTCGCCAAATTGGCGGTCATGTAAAATCCACTGTTTAGAGGTAACCCTACCTCCTTTTACCTCTCCCTACCTCATTTGACCTATCTCATATTTTGTTACCAAACAAGGTAAAATATTAAGTTTACTTCTCCCTACCTTCCCCTACCTCCAAACAAACATAGTGTAACTAAGATGCCAAAGTACATCCATCTAAAATACAATACAATACACAAATGCTAAAAAATCATTATAGATGATAATCGTCTGTGTAAATTTTTACCAACACAAAAGATATTCATCAGTGAATACTATGGGTATACATCTCATTGTCGTCTATAAATGTACAAATTTACAGACAATTGTCATTTCTGGTGTTAACCATGGTGGGTTTCTATCATGACTCGATATTATTCCATAAAAATATTGACTTGACATTAATAAACACGTGATACTGATTCAAAAGTTGAGTTCCGAAACCCCTTTTCGGCCTGTGTGGAGGGGATATATGTAATGATTTTTACTGAATCAGTATACAAGTTTGAGCTTTCTGACTCTAAATTCTTGTTTCTCACTAACCCTGGTTCCACGAATTTATCCGATCCATATAAAAACATGAACATTCTCATAAAAATGAAAAATTATTACTCCCTCCGTGTCAAAATCTAAGCAACATTTAGAGCGACGTCTAAAATATCATCTCTTTTAAAATTATTTTATTTACAAATTAGTACAAAAATAAAAAGTAAAAATTACACCGTTGAAAAATAGATCAAAAGTTCTACAAAACAATTTGATGGTTGTTATGTACGTTGCCTCTCTCTCCTTTGATCAACTTTCTCTGTTTTATAAAATAGTCCCTCTTTCATTTTTTCATTTTCCTCAAAACACTTCCATTTTTGTAAAAATGACTAATATATCCAAATAATTAAAATCATCACAATATGCTTCTTTCCATTTTTATTGATATAATAGGTTATTTAAATGATTTCTCCCTCTTTTTTCTTCGATGTTATGGATATAATTAAAAGATCGATCAGACTACTAAAATAAATATGTCTCAAGTTAAAACATGAACGGTCTTACGAGACGGAAGGAGTATTATTTTTCATCTCAAACCAATCAGAATTTAACACATCTCAATTTCAACCAATTATAATAACTCACTCTCACACCTCAATCACTTTCCTTCACACGTACCCACACAACGCACATATTTTTATTGCTCCACGTCAACATCTTTACACCCCGTCAAACCCGCTACTGCACATGGCCTAACCATGCATTTTTCATTGTGTTGGTAACTTACAAATAGAATGGCTTTTCATGTCGATTTCGCATTATAAAAAAAGATACTATATATGGAAGAGGTTTGTGCCTACAATGACTACCACAACCTTAAATAATGTTTGTGGTAATGCCATGCCTGCCCTCACCTCCTTTTCCCCCATTTTCATATCAACCGCTGAAAGTGCATGACACCTACCCAACATATCTAAGTTGACCTGGGCATTATTTTTTTATTTTATTTGTTGGGTTTGTTTCATAATTTCTCTCCTTTAGAAACGTATAATTATTATCCCCCCCTTATAGAGAAACTAATAACTTTAAGATAACGTATGTTACTAGATATCCCACAGTGACAACTTACTGCTACAAGTAAACCCACATCAAAAGATGAAGTTTATGAAGATTGGAACAAGACCAGATACCTTTTACACTGAAGATGGTACTAGGTATGTACAAAGTTAATTACTATACGTTGTTTAAATTAATTAATTACTTTCTTGGTTTTCTTTTATGTGTCTAATTAAGACTTTTGAAATTTATTATGTTACATATTTTACACTTGAAATAATGCATCATCGAATAGGACAATAAGTTCAGATGTGCCCAGTGATCTTACTATCAAAATCAACAACTTGGCCTATCATCTTCACAAGGTATATTTGTTCTTTGATCCTTTTGGATTTAACAAGAAAATCATAAATCTTTGAAATAGATTCTAACAGTTCTTGTGTTTTGGTTTTTTTTAGGATCCACTGCTTCCTAAGTGTGGGCTCTTACAGAGACTGGTCTCAAATCGCGCACCAGATCCGGACGACGACATCAGCCTGGAACTGCACGATACGCCCGGGGGCGAAGAGGCTTTCGAGGCGTGCGCTAAGTTCTGCTACGGGATAACCATACACGTGAGCGCCCGAAACTTCGTCCCCGTCTTCTGCGCCGCGAAATTCCTTAGAATGACGGGGGCATTCGAGAAGGGGAACTTGGTCCCGAAGCTCGAGGCGTTCTTCGCGTCATGCATTCTCAGAGGCTGGAAGGATTCGATTCTCGCCCTCAAGACGACCCCGAAGCTGGCTGAGTGGGCAGACAACCTCGGGGTCGTCAGGAAGTGCACGGACTCCGTGGTGGAGAAAATCCTGACCCCTCCTGCGGAGGTCAGGTGGTCCTACACCTACACCAGGCGCAGGAGGGGCAAAACGGGGCGCGGAGAGAAATCTCCGCCGCCCAGAGACTGGTGGACGGAGGATCTCTCCGCGCTCGACGTAGACCTCTTCAAATGCACGCTCGCTGCGGTGAAATCGTCGGGCGCATTCCCGCCACAGCTCATCGGCGAAGCCTTACACGTATACGCCACCCGGCGGCTACCCGACGCCAAAAAGACAACGAGATTCTCGAGAACCCCGCGGGCAATTCTCGAGACCATCGTGGACCTGATCCCGACGGAAGCGGGATCAGTCTCACTCAGATTCTTGCTGAGGCTTCTCAGTGCCGCTAACCACTTGGGAGCATCACCCGCGACGAAGGAGCAGCTCCTCCGGCGGTCGGGGGAGCTCCTCCCCGAGGCGCAGGTGAGCGACCTGCTCGTGCCGGCGGCTCCGCCGCCAGAAGAGGATGGAAACTGGGGCCTGGAGACCGACACGGCACCGGCACGGGACGGACGCCGGGGCCGAGACGTTGAGCTAGTCGGGGTTGTTTTGGAGAGTTTCTTGAGGCAGTGGAGAAGGGGACGGCAGCTGGGATCCGGCGGAGAAGAAGAGAGCGATCAACGGCTGAGATCAATCAGGAAGGTGGGAAGGTTGATTGACTGTTATGTGGGAGTTCTTGCAAGGGATCGTCGTCCTAGAGTCCCAGTTGAGAAATTGGTGTTTTTGGCTTCGGCTGTTCCGGACATTGGAAGGCCTCTTCATGATGAACTTTACCATGCAGTAAATACTTATCTTAAGGTATGGCATATATATATATGTCCCCCAAGAGTTCAGACCAGACCAGACCACATCGGAAACAACTTTAAATATAACTACAATCAGATGAGATCAGACCTTCAAAAAATCAGATTAGATCATGATGGGCACTTCTTTTATCCTTATTGTCAAAAGACAGAAGTTCATGGTTTTCACATCTCACCTTTAGGTGCATCCTGAGCTAAGCAAAGCCGAGAAGAAGAGACTCTGCCGCGTTCTGGACTGCCGGAAGCTATCGCCGGAGGTGCGGGCCCACGCGGTGAGGAACGAGCGGCTGCCGCTGAGAACCGTCGTGCAAGTTCTCTATTTCGAGCAGGAAAGAGGCGCACAAGTCCACACACGGCCACGTGCGGCAGACGAGAAGAAGGATGGTAGTGGTTCCTGATGATGAAATATAGGTAAATCAAACAGGAAAAAAAGGAAGGGAAAGAATAAGCATATAGTATTGCTGAGGATCAAAGAACACTCCTTAAGCATATAGTATTGGGAAAGAAATTCATGTGTTTTCATTGATTATGTGTATATTCAATTCCCTAGCTAAAAAAAAGGTATCTTAGCACCAAATAGTTTTCATCAATAATGTGTATATTCAATCCCCTTGCTGGGAAAAAAAAGAAGATATCTTAGCATCAAATGGCTTGTGTGTGAGAAACTTTAAAAGAAAATATTATGTTTGGATGTCGATTAGAATTGTGAAACAATCAAGATTTATGGTATGTGCTTTCTAATCTGGAATTTTGTTTGGATATCATATTTTGTGCTCCGTACAATATATTTTGAGCCTCTTAGGGGTCTTTTGGATACAATCTCTTTACTTTCAAGTAGGGACAAAGTCTGCATATACACGTCCTTTCTAGACCATACTTCCGTAGAATCCAACCGGGTTGTTGTTGTAATCAATCCGTCTCATGTTTAAAGGTCACTTTTCTTTTCTAGACGTTCCAAAATTAAGTTCACATTCCTGTTAATGAATAGAATGGTATGTTTCCGATCCTTTTATTTCTCACTTTTCTGAACGGTATTTAGCAAAATTCAATCACAAGTGTTATTTTGTTCTCAAAATCCGTAACATTGAATCGTCAATTTAATTGTTGACCAAAAGGTTTTACATGGTCCATGAATAGTGGTTGTACATCTTTATCCAATATCATTTGTATCAAAGAAAAAGGCGCTGCAGAAATTAAGAGGGGAAAACGCGTCCTTGACCGGGCCAATCTTCCGTTTTTGACTTGTTTTACATGCAAACTATTATGCATGGCGGATATGGCCACATAAAACAAGAAGAAAAATAATAATCTACAAAAGTACAAAACCTTATAGGAGGTTTTAACTCTAACATTTTCATTGATTTCAAAAATATTCAAAACTAAACACAAAGGCGACCATACCAGACCAGACCAAACAAGAAGATGACCAGAACTCCTCTTCTACAACCCATCATCCTACTTTTCCTACTCCTCATCATCCAAATTCGCTCCTCCGAATCCGGCGACGAAGTTGCAGTCTATTGGGGCCAGAACGGGAACGAAGGCAGTCTCACAGAAACATGTGCAACAAGAATATACACTACCGTGCTGATTTCCTTTCTTTCGAGCTTTGGGGATGGCCAAACCCCTGCACTCAACCTCGCAAACCATTGTGACCCTTCTTCTCCATCTGGGTGCAAATCCATTGGGACAGAGATCAAGTATTGCCAACAGCAAGGGATCAAAATCATGCTCTCTCTGGGAGGATCTGCTGGGAATTACTCCCTGTCTTCCCCAAAAGATGCCCAAAATTTTGCTGATTACTTATGGAACACTTTCTTCGGCGGCGGAGGCTTTCAAGACGTCATTTTGGATGGTATAGATTTCGACATAGAGGTTCCTATGCCATACTTGGACCATCTCGCGCGTTCCCTCAAGTCGCATAGCCGAAAACTTTACTTATCTGCGGCACCTCAGTGCCCATTTCCTGATGCTCATCTCAGTGATGCCCTTAACACCAACCTTTTTAACTATGTCTGGGTACAGTTCTTCAACAACCCCAGCTGCGAGTATTCGCAAGGTGAGACTGATAGCTTTTTCACTGCATGGAACCAGTGGGCTGCCTCAGTCAACCGTTCGAAAATATTCCTGGGTTTGCCAGCATCTCCGGATGCGTCTGGCAGTGGCTATGTTCCTGTTGATCTGTTAGTTTCTAAGGTGCTTCCCACAGTAAAGAAGTCACCTAACTATGGAGGTGTGATGCTGTGGTCAAGATACTATGACAGGTTGAGTGGGTACAGTACCAATATTCGAATTACTCCTCTTTGCACGCCTCTTCAAAGTGCTCCCACATGCAGGAGCCGGGATAAGAATGGCTTCGAAGAGCGTTTCGGTCACATGTCATCTGATAGTGTTAAGGTTTATGAAACAGAGAATCTCGGAGGGCAGTGTTGTGAGACCATATGCTGGAACAATTGTTCTTGTCAGGCACATGCACCAGTGAATCAGGCCAACAATAGTGGGTGCCAGATATGGCTTAAAGGAAGCAGGTTCATAGAAGATGCTGCAGGGTCAAAGGTGTTTGTTGTTAGGCACAAAGGTATGCATTGTGCATGGACTAAAAAACCTGTGCATGGACAAAAAAATACAAATGCTTGATTTGCCATATTCTTGTGAACTGTTGTAGTGAACAGATGGTGGATATGGCTTATTGTTGGAGTGGGAGCAAGCTTAGCATTACCTCTGATATGTTACTTATGCTATGTCTCATTGAGAAAATATAAAGCAGCTGGTAATACCTGCTATCGAGTATTAATTAGTACTCCGTAATATCCAAACAAAAATCTAAAGTTTAAGGTCACCTTGGTGACTTGTATATCTCTTGTCCCATTACCAGTGGACAGGAAAATGAAGCAAAAGAAGATATTACACGATATTGGAGGCAACGCCATGATTTTCATGGCTTATGGCAGAGCCAAAAGGAACAAAAAACAAGGGAAGGAAAGAAATGAGGTGGAAATATTCTGTTTTGAGAGCATTGTGGCTGCCACAAACAATTTCTCAGATGCTAACAGGCTAGGAGAGGGCGGTTTTGGGCCTGTATATAAGGTAATGCACATAAATGCGCGTGTGAGAATCAAAATCTGAAACTTACATATACATGACCTTTTGTAGATGTACAATAACACTTTCAGGGGACGCTAGCCGATGGGCAGGAAGTAGCAATAAAACGGCTTTCTAAAAGTTCTGGACAAGGGCTTACCGAATTCAAAAATGAAGCTAAGCTTATGGCTAAACTGCAGCATACAAATCTTGTGAGGCTTTTGGGGTTATGCATCGAAAGAGACGAAAGAACATTAGTTTATGAGTACATGCCAAACAAAAGCCTTGATTTCTACCTGTTTGGTAGGCTGTCAAAATTAATGAATGTTAGTATGTTTAGTGTGTCATGCTTTCTAACAAGCATCTTACCATCTGTGGCAGACGCGAGCAGACGAAACGTACTGAATTGGGAAAAACAATTTAACATCATTGATGGAATTACTCAAGGACTTCTTTATCTACACAAATATTCAAGGCTAAAAGTGATACATCGTGACTTGAAGGCAAGCAACATATTACTAGACGAAGAAATGAACCCTAAAATATCTGATTTTGGCATGGCTCGGATATTTGGATTGAGAGAATCCGAAGAAAACACAAATAGAGTAGTTGGTACACGGTGAGTTTATTTATAAGAAGACAATTCATTCTACGCACCTTCCATGTGACTCTTGGTTGATTTGGGATTCTAAGATTCATCTTCTTTTTTCTTGTCTTCCCTCCTCAAGTGGTTACATGGCTCCAGAGTATGCAATTAACGGCGCTGTTTCGACCAAAACAGACATATTTAGCTTCGGTGTGTTGCTAATAGAGATCCTTACTCGCAAAAAGAACAACAGTCGGTTTGATCTAGACCGTCCTCTTAATCTGATAGGATATGTAAGTTTTCTAAAACTACTCTTATGAAAATTCAATGCATATGTTATGATTCTAAGAATCGATCAACCTAGGCATGGCAACTTTGGAGAGAAGGCAGAGCTTTGGAGCTAATCGACGCGGCACTAGTTGAACAAAGTGTGCTGAACAAATTTCAGAGAAGCATTCATATAGGGCTCTTGTGTGTACAAGATCAAGCAAGAGACAGGCCTTCCATGTTAGATGTGATTTCGTTTCTATCGAACGATTCAATACAACTTGCTAAACCGAAAAGGCCAGCATTCTTCATAGGAGGTGAGGTTGCAGAAGAATCAGAGTTGCAGCATAACAACATGAGGCAATTAGAGCATTATTCCACAAATTATGTCACAATTTCTAATCTAGAGGCAAGATGAAAGCCAGCCTCATTGGCATCTCAATGTTTTTGAGAATTTCGAAGCCATAACTCCATAGCATATTAGGGTGCTACACAAAACCACTTTATTATGCAGAGAATCAGAGATCTATGAGCATTATGGTGTGTGTCTATGAGACTATGACATTTGACGAGCTCAGAGTAATGAAATAAACGGAAATGTCAAATTCCTGACCTGTTCATTGGTTGCTTGAAGCCTGCCGTTGTGGCTGGCTCTCCGATTGATTTGCAGGAAACAATTGTTTGTTCAGGGCTCATGAGACGAAGTATTTTAGAAGCACGGTACCAATTATTTGCCTCAGAATTATCATAAAAATCATCAACCAATAAAACTGAACTTCCTTCTTTGGACAACAAAAATAAATGTTATACTCCCTCCGTCCTAAAACTATTTTCCCGTTTGTATTTACGAGATTTGACTGATTTTATTTTTAATTCAATTTATTTGATAGTTTGACCGACTTTATTTTTTTAAATATATTAAGCAGTAATACAACCAAATACATTTAAGATAGTTAGAACAAAAAAAGTTATCCTATAAATGTCAAACCTGAATGGAGTGGAATGTGTGTTCTTATCTCGTGAATTATACCGTGGGTATGATAGGCGTGAGGTATAAAAAGTTGTCTATTTTTGGTGGTTTCCTTTGAAAAGTTTGCTTTTGTTCTTTTAAGATGATAGTTTCACTTTTAAAATTATTACTCTCCTTTTCTAAAAGATTGTCACAATTTTTTTGGTCAAACTGTGACACACGATGACCATGAATTAAATATAGTTTATGATTTTTAAATATTGTCAAAACTTGATCTTTTAAAACTTTTTTGCAAAATAAATTTAATTTTTTAAATTTAACTAAAAGTCAAATTATTTTAAATTTTTTAGGGACGGAAACATTAAAAAATAGGACTTTGAATGATAGATGTTAAAAGAAATTCAAAATGTTTTTTAAATTCGCAGGTGTTTAAGTGATAAGTTAAACTTGTCATTTAATAAATAAGAGTTTTGAAAAATATAATTTTAATTTTCCAAAACTGAATTTTTGAATTTTAATCAATTGAATATTTTAAAATATAGTTAGTCAAATATTTGCTCTGCTAACCAAAAGGGATTGTTAAATAAGAACATTATATTGACCGTCTTTTTTCAGTGTCGTAAATGTAAAAGAATCAGGGGAATGGAATGGGAATATACCTTTGTGAATTATAGATTGTATGAGGCGTGAGGTTTTTTCAATATATTATGGAATATTAAAATCAAATACATTTAAGAGAGAGAGGACAAAAAAGGCCATTTTCTATATGTAGCAAACATCCCCTATATCCAGTAGTCATTATCCCTAGAGTAGTCATGATCGGACTGCATGCGAAGTATATGATAAGTGTGATTTATATGATAAGTGGGATTCGATATAAGTATTAAAGATTTATAAAAGTAATTACAGTACATCCAAGATATTGATGACAAAGGAGAAGTGTCTATTTTTTTCTCTTCCTTTTCTTGATTCCCACCAAAGTGAAAAGAAAATTTAATCATCTTTCTAATTCTTTTATCCACACTTTCTTTGCAGTATAAATGTCTTCATACCGCGGCAATTAGTAGTGGATAATTGGTTGTTTGTGGCGTTAGTGTTTTGGTGGACCAGCACTAAGCACTTCCCATTTCTACAAACTTTTAAAAATAAGATAAATTTTAATGGAACTTTGGATATCAAAAATACACATTCCATTAATAAGATATAGGGTGATGAACATGTTTAGACCTTCAAAAAATAGAAATGCACAATTGAAAAAAAACTAACAACACACGGATGGATTTAAAAACGACACAAAGTAGTCGCAAATTGTTCATCTTTTTTCCCAAAGCACGCCTTTCTCCTATAGTCTTTTTCTTGTTTCACGATCCGACGTTTCTTATAATTGAAACTGCCTCCGCGTTTTTTTAATTTTGTTTATTTAAGAAATTTTTATGATCCTTAGATCTCACATTCTAAAGCACCATATGCATTCTCATTCATCTTCTAAGACCCTATTCTCACCTTAACCAATACACACACACACGAAAATGTTACATGCTATAACATCTTTAATATTTATAGGTGTCACAAAAATGAAGAATACCTTTTGATATTCAAAAACTATTTCCAAAGTCTCTCCAAACTGCTCACTTGGTGGAACGTGATACACTTGTATCGCACGGAGTTGTAAATTCTAATCAGTCTTTTTTGGGTGAACTTGATTCAATTCGGCCCATCCAGAAGCAGCAGAAATAAGAATTGTCATTGTAGGAATTCATGGTGAAATGAGGTAAAGAGATAAATTTGTGAAGGATTGATATCGAATCCTATGTAAAGATATAAATTGTGGATGAATGGTATGGAATATAATTGAAAAAATGGTAGATAGAAAAATAAAAAAAATATTGAAAAGCCTGAATGAGTGAAAAAATGAAAATGAATGCCGATGAAGAAATTGAAATGGGTGAATGAAATGCCATGGAATGCCCAAATTTTATACTAATGGGATGGAAGTCCATAATTGAGTTTCATTATTACCAGGTATTGTGTTTTGTCAAAACATGCCAAACAAAAGGCAGGAAACAACATATACCATTTTTTTTATAAAAATCATCCTAAATAGGACTAAAACATAGAGAAAAGTACTAAAATAGGACTTTCATGTTTTTTTTTCCCGGGATAGGACTTTGCATTGTGGTAATGTGACTTTGCATTGTGGTAATGTGGCAGTGTACATGTGCAAATTACTATACTTTTTTGGTAATGTATATGACCATGTTTGGTAATGTAAGTCCTATTTCGGGAATAAAAACATGGAAGTCCTATTTTGGTATATTTTCAATGTTTTAGTCCTAGTTTGGTCTTTCTCCCTTTTTTTTATATAGAGTATGATATGATGATGATGATATATATGACCTTTGAGAATAAAAAAATTTCTTAAATACATTATAAAAATGTTACCTGTACTGTTTAAAGTAATATGTTCCGATATTACTTTTTTTTAATGTCCATGATAAAAAAGTTTGATGGAAATTTTTAAAACATATCGAAATGATTTATAAAAAAAAAAGAAATGTAAAAAAAGAAGGAAACAGAGAGGAACAAAAAAGTAAAAAATTCAAAAATTAAAATTTGGTGTCCACTTTCCAAAATATATGAACTGAATTTTCTCAGTTTTGACACATCATTTTCCAGCGGCCAATTGGAAGGGCGGAGTCCTTGGCTGCCTTTGAATGATTGATACCGGCGGCGGGAACACCATGAATCCCGGCGAAGTTGCAGATTCAACAGTGAACTCGTCTCCTTACTGCTACAAGAAACTCTCCTCCCATAACATCAGAGAGTTCATCGATTCTGTCGATGCTTTTCTCTTCGACTGCGACGGTAAATGTGTGCCATAATCGCGTGTAATTTGAGCGCCATATCCAAAATTCAATCGTTCTCTGTTCAATTTTTGCTTTTAGCAAGACCTACGGCGCGGCACTCTGTACAATTTCTGAAATTGATTTTGTTTCTCCCTTTTAGGCGTGATTTGGAAAGGCGAAAAACTGATCGATGGAATCCCTGAGACGCTCGATATGCTCCGTTCCATGGTACTTCGATCCGCTTCATTCATTTTCGATTTGTTGCCTGATTCTTTGGAAGAGTATTTTCAGCGTTTTGGTTTCATAGTAAGTCATCTGTAGGTTTTATATTGATTGATTGGGTATAATGGCGGCGTGCATATGGGGTACTTTCAGGGGAAGAAGCTTGTTTTTGTGACGAATAATTTGAGGAAGTCGAGAAAGCAGTTTGTCAAGAAGTTCCAGGCCCTTGGAATTCATGTTTCTGAGGTTTGTAATATGCCTGTTTGTGTGTACTGCTAGTATTGAGACCTGAGAGTGGCAAAGTGCACTTCAGTAGTAGTCATTTGTCTGAAATACGATCTCGCTGCACTGCAGGGTGAGATATTCTCATCTTCATTTGCAGCTGCAATGTATTTGAAAGTTCACAATTTCCCAACGGACAAGAAGGTTAGTCGATCTGATGCTCAACTTCCTGCATTCCTCTTTGGAGGGATTATGGTTTGTTTAGACAAATTGACAATACTCGTATCACATTTGAAGGACTTATTTGACATGTGGAACTCATTTCTTAAAAATGAGATTCTTTTAGAAAGTGGACAACTAAAAGGGAGTATATATTAGTCTTTCCGGTGACGAGTTCTCTAATTTCTTGGCACAAATGATGTTTGAGAAATTACCGGCGATTTAAATCTAGATTTTCATGTTCATTCTAGTTGAATTAAATCATACGGAGTATATCAGTTGTAAATCTTTACAAATCTAATGCATAAATTGATTTATTTCATTGTGCATTTATGTCTGATACAGTTTGCAGTAGTTAAACTGGACATGTCAATACTCATTCTCCCAAAGTGCATTATGCTTTAGCTTTCCTATACCTACTGGCTACTGATATGATCCACATTACTTGGCAATATATAACTTGATGATAAGTACTGCAGATATCAAATTGATATTTCAGCATTTCAGGTCTATGTTATAGGTGAGGAAGGCATTTTGGAGGAGCTTGCCCTAGCTGGCTTCACAGGGATTGGTGGTCCGGTTGGTATCATTCTCTTTGTTTTTCCTTTATAAACAATTCAAACCAATTATACCAGTAAATTTCACTCGGGAATAGGGGCTGGGTAGGGATGAGATGTGGCAAACCTTTCTCCTTCCTCAGAGTTACTAGGCTTTTTACGTGAAGACCCCAAGTCCCCAACACAAAAAATGGAAACGCAGGAAAGCATAAAAAAGGCAGAACACATAAAACTACAAGAGCAAGCAAGCAAACAAATGAACAAGTACCCAACCTTTAAACAATACTCACTTACAAAACCTCAAGAAATCTACAAAAATACAAAATACGTATGTATATACTCACTTACCCACGTTGTAAACTATAGAAAGTATAGAAACACTAGGTCATGTGCAAAGCTTAACTCTTTGGGCAAAAGATTTGGCTCTAGACGAAGTGTCAAAAACTGTTATGAACTTGATGTTTCTTTGTTAAGACGAAATAGATGTACAGATATGATGGTATTTTTGTATTTTAGCATCATCGTTGTTATTGTGACACGATAATCTTTGTTTTTTTATCAATTTGCTGATGATAGACCAACTTTGCAGGAAGATGGAAAGAAGACTCCGGAATTAAAATCAGGATCTTTTTTTGAGCATGATAAGAGCGTAAAATAACATCCTGCTTTTCAAATTTGAAACAACTTATATTTATTATTGTTACTACTACTACTACTACAACTATTATAATTATAAATATTATTAAAAGTATTATTATTATTATTATTAAAAAAGAATCACTATTGGAAGGAATCATTTTCTCATTGTCTCTATTAACCATTTCTACTTCTAAATTCAGGTTGGTGCTGTCATTGTTGGAATTGACCAATACATAAATTATTACAAGCTACAGTAGAGTCTACACCTTTTTAATCTCCTTTCATTTCTTTATGATTTTGTTCAATGTCTGTGCATTTCTCTTTTTGCTTGGTGTACAGATCACTGTTTTTGCTATTACATAGTGTTGAAAACAAAAATGCAATGATAAATCCATGGAGGGAATACCATACTTTTTTTTTCCCTAGCCATTTAAAGCTTACCAATTCATGTGATTTATAATATAACTATTGATTTTGAAGTGATATCTATGAGAAATGGAAATACAGTACCTTAGTCTTTGCATATTTTGAATAACGGTTTTAGCTTTTCTCTGCCTTTTGAGTTTTAATGTCTGAATGTTATTACAGGTATGGAACACTTTGTGTACGTGAGAATCCTGGATGCCTATTTATTGCTACCAATCGTGATGCGGTTGGGCACTTCACAGATCTACAAGAGTGGCCAGGTGATTGAATATATATCAGCATTTTAAACAATAATTGCACAGCCTCCTAGAATTCATAAATCATGAAAATCATTTATGGCTTTAGGTGCTGGATGCATGGTTGCTGCAATGTGTGGATCAACTCAAAAAGAGCCCATTGTAGTTGGGAAACCATCCACCTTCATGATGGACTTTTTACTAGAGAAGTAATAATAAATATCATACAACAGCTCAATGAGATCAAAAACAGATATACAACTCTTTTTACCTACTACACTTTGCTTTCCTGAATGGATATGCCTTCTATGTTGATGTTGCATTTGTCCTCACTTTGCAGGTTCAATATCAGTACCTCAAGAATGTGCATGGTGGGTGACAGATTGGACACAGATATCTTATTCGGACAGAATTCTGGTTGCCAAACTCTCCTTGTTCTTTCAGGTTTGAGACTTACCCTGCTGTTCTTCCTAATAAGGAGGCCATCTATCAATTGCCCTGATATATCCGTATCACTGATTATTGCAGGTGTGACAAATATGCCAACACTTTTAGACCCTGCAAACAACATCAAACCAGATTATTACACTGAAAAAGTGTCCGATATTCTAAACATGCTGGAACGATCAATTTTATAGCAATCATATTGTACAAGATTCATCACCATCTGATACTCTAATCATTTGGAAGCGTTTAATCAGGTTTCAACTTACCCTTGCTTTTCTTTGTAAGAAGGGTTTTATCTATCAAGCATTCTTCTGAAAAGTGTGTTAGTTACCTCTAGATGGTATACTTTATCGACACTATCAAGATAACTCTTTATTTCTCCTATCCCCAGTAAGGCCTTCCCCCTACTTGGTCTGCTTCGGAAAAACCTTCAGCTCAAGAAAACATAATGCATAAGAACAGTTCTATATCAAATAGAATGAACACCCTTATGTATCCGCATTGCTGCTGATTAATGCAGGCGTGACAAATATAGCATTATTTTTTGACCTTGGAACGAACAATCATTTTTCGAGTCATCATAGGGTATGAGATTTGTCACTGTCTTTTCTTCTATTGCTGTGTTAGAGTCGGTATTTGCTGCCCTGATCCAGGGTTAGCTGCAAAACGAAACAAAGAACATTAAGTGGCAGACTCCTCATTGTTGCCCGTGGCTACAAAGAAGAGTTTGCAGTTCCCTGGAGTTTGTGACTTGAGAGGATTAACAATGGCTCTAAGATTTATTATTAAAAAGAGTCCAAATATAGATAGGCAGTGTTAGCGAGAATATCTCTTAGTAAATATTTACTTATGGGCCTCTTATGTTAATAGCCCAATCTATTCTTATATATACATTGTACAAACTCTTCTAAGAGTGAACAATTCTTCTCAATTCCATTATGGTATCAGAGCTGAGGAATGGTAAAACTAAAACGGTAAAACCGTAAAAATAAAAGTACTAGAAAATATAGAGTCGTCTGCTCATCTTCTTCTTCGACGTCTTTTCTTTTCCTTCCGTCTCCTTCATCGGCGACTCCTTCTCCGTCCGATCGCCAAAAAAAAAACAAATTGGTTCCCTGCCGTGCTTCTCGCTGCTGCTGCCGTCTACAAATTGGTTTCCTGCCGTCTACAAATTGGTCACGAATTGCTGCCTTATCCATCTGCAAATTGGTCCCGAAATTGGACAGAAATTGCTGCCTTTTTCCATCTAAAAGTTGCTGCTGCCTTGCTGCCAATTGCCCTCTCCATCTGCCATCTACAAATTGCTGCCAAATTGCCAACTTGCTGACATGGCCAGTTCAAGTGACCCTCGATGCTCTTCCAACAGGTTTGAAGCTTTTCATAAAAAATCTTCATTCTTTGACACCAGAAAAGCTAGATGACTCAAATTTTCCGGCCTGGGTTTCTACCATCTCTGCAAATCTCTTGGCTCATCGTCTTATGGGATATGTTGATGGAACAATTGCCGCCCCTCCGTCAACTGTGAGCGTTACTGACAAGGAAGGGGCTGTTAAGTTTGTTCCCAATCCTGAATATGAGATATGGTCAGTCATTGATGCTCAACTATGTGCTTGTTTGCTTGCCACCATCAGTCCGTCAGTCCAAAGTTATCTTCAGGGCCAACACTCTGCAGCAACCATTTGGAATCATCTTCAACTACGGTATAATTCTTTGTCCAGAACTCATATTTTTCAGTTAAAAGAGCAACTTCGCAGTCTTCATAAAGGCACAGATTCTATGCAAAAATATCTTGATGCTGCTGTTAAAATTGTTGCTGATTTGAAACGTGCGAAATCTGATATTTCTGATCAAGATATAATTTTATGCATACTTCGTGGTTTGCCATCTGAGTATGCTGCCATAAAACAGAACATCCGGACTAATATTGGTCAGGTTACTCTCACTGAAGTCACGTCCTGGTTACTTCAAGAAGAATTAACTTTACAAATGGAGCAAAAACTTCAGTTACGTGACAACACCCCGTCTGATGTTCACACAGCACTTTATAGTAATTCTAACTATCGGGGGCGTGGACGTAGTTTTTTTCGTGGACGTGGGGGTCGATCTGGGCCTGGTGGTCGTGGCTCATACGGCGGTCGCGGTTCATATGGTGGTAGGACTGGTGGCCGTCTCTCTCAGCCCGGCGGAAGGGGGTTTACCTCTCCTCGTAGCTCCATTATTTGTCAGATTTGTGGAAAGTATAATCATGCTGCATGGGATTGTTGGCATCGGTTTGACTCTGAATATGCAGGACCATCTTCCACCCCACCTCCACACGCATTTTATGCGAGTCAATCCTCTGCTCCAAATGAAAGCTGGTTTTTAGATACAGGAGCTAATGCTCATGTTACTCCGGATCTGTCTCGTCTCTACTCACACACTCCATACTCTGGTACTAAGACTGTTACTAGTGCAGGTGGTCATCCTTTACCTATTGCAAATGTTGGTTCAGGTAAAATACCTACCTCCTCTGGCATTTTCCATCTTGGTAACCTCTTACATGTTCCCTCGCTTAAATCCCATCTTCTCTCTGTTTATCGTTTTACCAAAGATAACAATTGTACCCTCCTTTTTTACCCTAATGAATTTCAGATCCTAGACAACAGCACCCATCGGGTGAGATACAGAGGCCGTTGTGAGCAAGGACTTTATTTGTTGCCTTCCAACTATCATGCGTCAAAGTCCTTCGTGGTGTCCCCGTCTGTGCAATCTGCAGTCCTCACCTCTCACGATTGGCATCGTCGGCTGGGGCATCCTTCCCTAGAAGTTACAAATAATCTTCTTTCCTTTCTTGGTTTTCCCTCTATGTCAAATGTATTGTCTTGTGACTCTTGTTCTGTTTCCAAGTCTCATAAATTACCTTTTGCTTCTTCATATACTGCTGCTACTTTTCCATTTCAATTAATACACTCTGACGTTTGGGGGCCTACTTCTACTCCCTCTTTTGGTGGTTTTAGATATTATATCTCTTTTATTGATGATTTTACAAAGTTTTCGTGGTTGTACCCGTTGAAACAAAAGTCGGAAGCCTTTGGTGCTTTTCAAAGTTTTCAATTCATGGTTCAAAATCAATTTGGAACCACTATCAAACTGTTTCGAACTGATAATGGTAAAGAATATATTAATAAGCAGTTTGGCCTTTTTCTACAACGTCTTGGGATCCTCCACCAAAAAACTTGTCCTTATACCCCTGAGCAAAATGGAGTGGCTGAGCGCAAACATCGCCATCTCATCGAAACTGTACTTACTCTTCTCCTTACATCCCACCTTCCTGCTATTTTTTGGGTTGAGGCCCTTGCCACTGCAAATTTTCTCATCAATCGTCTTCCCAAAAAATCCTTAGCCCATATGTCTCCTTATGAAAAACTTTACAATCACTCTCCTGACTATTCCTTTTTACGCGTTTTCGGGTGTCTTGCCTATCCACATCTTCGTCATGAAGCTAAACATAAACTTCAACCGCGATCCAAACCCTGTGCTTTTGTTGGGTACGAACCCTTAACCAAAGGATATCGGTGTTTTGACCCGTCCACCTCTAAGGTTTATGTCAGCCGTCATGTTTGTTTCAATGAATCTTAGTTTCCTTATCGTCGGCTTCTGACCTCAGATGCTTCCTCTTCCTCTTCGTCTTACTTTGGTATTCTTCCTCTTTTCTCGTTCTCCCAGAGTCCTGCTCACACGCCTTTGTCTCCTCCCGTAGCCCACCCACCTTCCACAGAACCTACAAATCAATCTCATCCCATTCCCCTCTATACTCCTCCCCATCGCCGTGTGACACCTACTGATATCAACAACTCACTGCCAATAAACACAACCCACTGCCAAGACCAACATCTTACCTCCACCTCCAGCCAGTCCACTGTCGAGTCTAACAACCCACCTCCCTCCCCTTTGCCTATTCCTCCGGTCACCTCCCGACACCCCATGGTCACTCGGGCCAAGAGTGGTATTTTTAAACCTAAACTCTATGCCTCCACCATTCCTTTTGATGAACCTCCTCTCACTGAGCCAACCACCTACAAGCAAGCTGCTCAGAACAAATATTGGTGTCAGGCTATGGATGATGAATTTGAGGCGTTACAGAGACAGAGTACTTGGGAGTTGGTTCCTCCCCCTAATGATCGTTTTCCTATTGGTTGCAAGTGGGTTTATCGCATTAAGCGTAACTCTGATGGTTCAGTATCCAGATATAAAGCTCGCCTCGTTGCCAAGGGATATGATCAAGAATATGGTATTGACTACTCCGAAACTTTCAGCCCAGTGGTCAAGCAACAAACTATTCGGTTAGTCTTATCGCTTGCTATGCACCATGGATGGCCTCTTCATCAACTTGATGTATCTAATGCCTTTTTGAACGGTGAGCTCGAAGACCAAATTTATATGACTCAACCTCCAGGCTACATTGATCAGCGCTTTCCTCAGTATGTTTGCAAGTTGCGCAAGGCTCTATATGGGCTAAAGCAAGCTCCAAGGGCATGGTACCTTCGGCTCTCCTCTTTTCTCGCGGCACAGGGATTTACTACTACCACCCATGATACAAGTCTTTTTATCAAGCATTCTTCTCAGGGAATCCTTCTCTTATTATTGTATGTTGATGATATTGTTATTACTGGCTACTCTTCGGCTCTTATTCAGGTTTTCATCGAGAGTATGCATCAGGAATTTCAGATGAAGGATCTAGGTCCCCTGAAGTATTTTTTGGGCCTTGAAGTTGAACGCACATCTGATACTCTTCTTCTTCATCAGGCGAAGTATGCTCGTGAACTCATTCATCGGGCTGGTGTTGACACGTGTACCCCAGCCCCTACACCGATTAGTCCGAGCACATCTACTAATGGCGCTGATGTTCTTTTTGCCAACCCACGTCTTTTTCGTAGTCTTGTTGGAGGTCTACAGTATTTGACAGTAACTCGTCCTGATATTCAGTTTGCTGTCAACTTTGTTGCTCAAAAAATGCATGCTCCCTCTGAACAAGACTTTCACACGCTTAAACGTATTCTTCGTTATGTCAAAGGCTCATTGGCGTATGGCATTGTGTTTCGCAGGGGGGATCTATGTCTTCGTGGCTACTCTGACTTTGACTGGGCGAATGATCCTTCTGATAGCCGCTCTACTACGGGCTATCTTATTTATCTTGGGAATAATCTTGTCTCTTGGAGCACAGAAAAACAGACACGAGTATCAAAGTCTTCCACATAAGCAGAATACAGGGCTCTATCTGCAGCAGCGTCGGAGGTCATGTGGCTTACATACATTCTTACAGATTTGCGTGTGGCCACGCCACCACCTATACTTTATTGTGATAATCAGTCCGCAATTTGTCTCACCAAAAATCCTGTGTTTCACAAACGCATGAAACATGTTGGGACAGATTGCCATTTCGTTCGAGAGCAAGTTATTGATGGTTCTATGCGTGCTGAATATGTTGCCTCTGAGGACCAACTTGCTGATTTTTTAACAAAGCCACTTATGTCACATCGTTTCCAGACATTAACATCCAAGCTTCCTCTTGCTTATGCTCGACTCAGCTTGAGGGGGGATGTTAGCGAGAATATCTCTTAGTAAATATTTACTTATGGGCCTCTTATGTTAATAGCCCAATCTATTCTTATATATACATTGTACAAACTCTTCTAAGAGTGAACAATTCTTCTCAATTCCATTAGGCAGGAAATCCTAATACAACTTGGCTTCCTAATTTGGAATTAAAGTAGTAAGGAAGCAATAATCCTAATACAACTTGGCTAACTAATTTGGGAATGAAAGCAATAAGGAAGCAAAAATCTTAATTATTCCAATAAACTCTATTTAATCCGTAACATGATGGTTGATGAATACTCATTAGAATAATCACACAGTAAACCACACGACAGGCACTCTTTTAAGGATGCCGTTGGGCTGAGTATTGTTCAGTCTAATTACCTTGCACTCTATGAAAGTTTGATAATAATAAGTTAAATTATTTGGTCTTAATATTATTTAGGTGTACTTTATGGATACATGAATAACTTTCATAGAGCAAATATATTACGTAGTAATAGATACACCATAGTTGTTACTCTTTCTGTCATAGAGAGTAATATAAATTGTGTGTTTGACTTTTGTAAGTCAAAGTTTACAAATTCTGACCAAATTTTTAGTTTGAAAAGAGAAGTGTCGAAAGATGAAGTGTAAGGTAAGAATATGTTTAAAAGTCAAGATATGTGAGCCACACATTCTTTTCTTTAAATACGAAAGGAAGTGTGAAGTTTTTTTCAAAAAAAAAAACAAATGATAAAGGATAATGCAAATTGTATTTGGGGCCAAAGGAATATTTAGTTGTAATGTAAACTAAGTATCATTATATTAATCTTGAAATATTGGGTCAAAATATAACAGTCAAAGTATTACATTGAAAACTGCGATCAAACAAACACTCTAATTTAGAACAGCAATCTATTAATAATTTTGTCCATTCAATATTTGACTTATCTCTTATTAAATCAATATTTGATGCATGGCAAAAGTCACTTGTCCATTCAATCTAACTAGCCACAATATGTTTAGAATTGCAGAAGCATATATGGAAACATTACAAGAAGTATTGAAATGGATAAGAGATTGCTTCATTCATATTAATTAGCACAATAGCGTGCATACAGAAGAAATAACAATGATCTATTGATCGACCTGTGCAATATCTATTGTGCAATAATACATTGGATTTCATTGGAAAAAGTTTGAGAAAGAGTTAGGTGTCTTTTCATAGAATGGCTCCTCCCTTGGGTCGATGAGGTGTACTTGATTTCGGTCGAAGTACCAGTCCAGTAATGCGCTCTCAAATGACTGCCAAATCATAAATTCAAAGCATTCATAAGTATTTGTTTTCTTCATACTTTTAAATACTTGGCTTCTTTCCAATTCTTCTAATATATACTTGTAATATAAGTTTAATGCTCTTAGCCTAGCATGCAGGATACTTGTTCTATTTGAAGAATATACGGCGTTCTGTTCGACTTCAAAATGGTTTTGCCCCTTATTCCGTCCCTACTATCAAATATTTGACCCTGAGATATCCGAATGAGGGGAGGGATTCAGGGGGCGAAACCACTTCAAGATCAAACAGAGCACCATATACGACCTCAAATATAATGGATTGGTGTCATAACTTGACATCGGTTTTTGGTCGCCATAGTTGTATACCTTTGAGTTAGGGTCAGCAAACATGGGAATTTTGTAGCCGATCCCCGAGCCAAAGCTATGACTGTAGCGCGAAGTAATCAAATATCCGTTTGTCGCACTTGGTGCAGGCAATGCGTCTATCGTTTCTTGTCTGAAACCTGGGATATATATACACACATACATACACTCAGTTCATGTTATAGGCAGGCGCACGGCTCAAATGAACCCATACTTGTGCTAAAGCTTCACTAGCTTACTGAATGTATCAAGTCATAGCATAGTTAAAACTTAAAAGTCATTTTTTAAAGTTAAATTCTTGTCAATGTAGTAGATAGCACACCTTTTAGCAATTCCATATCAGCTGGACTAACCATATGGTCCTTAACTTGCGCGTATAACTCCTCCGAGAAAATGTGTCTCACCTTTTTAATATAGTAATTGAAGTTCAAAAATGTAATCAATCAGAAAAGTGTTAAAAAGAAAAAAAGAAACTATAAATATGAACAAAGTGCAGATATGTATTATGTTTGAGCCTGCCTGAAATGAATCTTGTGCCGAATTCAAAATGAAAAGGGGAGTTTTCACATATTTCGCCAAATTTTGGGGGTAAAAGCACTGCACATAATTCATTGGCATTACAACAATATTATATAGTAAAATTTGCACAGAATAAGACTAAAACATAAGTCATTTCTCAATATATATATATATGTATGTATGTATGCATGTATGTATAAATACTTCATAATATAGTTTGAAACTTACTGATAATGCACCCATTTTTGAGATGCACTCCGCAGGTAATGCCTTCTCAGGTTTCTGCATGCATGCAATTACCCCATGAACATTCACTTAAAGGGACATATACAATCTGTTTTTTAAAACTGATTATTATGTTCACTTTTTTCATTGTTTCAAAATAAATTTGTAATTCTCTCTTTTTTTTCTGAATATATGATTTAAAAAACTTATCTCTTCTTATAAATTAATTTAACTACTCACTTATTCCTTTTTAATATTTTTATAATATTGTTCATAATTCTATGAATTTCAAAGTGAAAAAAATTAATTTGGAATTTAGAGAATATAACGATACAAAAATTAATAAATTCAATAATATAAAGTAGAAAGAATGATGAGCTAGGAGCATTACATGTAGGCCAACAATGTTACCAAAAAGACCTTCAAAGAATTTTGCTCTCTCGGGATCCTTCCTGTTAATTAGATAATTAAATGCATAAATAATTTGATAATTAAATAAAAAATCTCTCCCTATTAAAACTTCAAATGCATGTAAAAATTGAGTTGCATGCGATATATATATATATTCAAAAACATACACATGTAGGAAGATAGAACTGTCAATGTGACATTTTACTCTAACGTTCTGAGGAAAAAGGTCTCGAAAACGATCACAATGTGCCATGACACCAATCCCACCGGCAGAACCTCCGGCAAGAAGTACCTATCATCAATTATATATATACAAATTGTGACACACATTAATCTTTCTTTCTTTCTTTTAATGTGTGCATATTTGTACCATTAAAGGGAAGGTAATAAATGAGTAATTGTTTTGTACATTTTGGGCATCTTTCAATCCCTTTTCCATCAAATCCCTTACTAGGACACCAAAGATCCTTGCTCCTCGATAGTAAAGTTTAGTAACCTATTTTTTTTTAAAAAAAAAGAATAAAATTATTAAGTTAATTCAACGTTTCATATGATATCAAATGTCCTACTTAGGTTAGGGTACGTACCGGATCGGGCTGATCGGCATCTCCGACAAACGAAGCACCGTCACAGTACTTGAGAATGACTCGATTCCAGTTGTAGAAATAGCTCATGCTTGACTCGTTGCCATAAACACTATGGTTGAATTCAAAAGGCTTCATTGCGATTGATGAACCCAAGTCACCAGTTGCACGGTGCTCACAGGTTTCAAGGGTATTATCAGGAGTATCATAATTGGTGTTGTTTATGCACCACCCTCCACCCTAAATCACATGTATGTAATATAATCAATCACAAAATAAGAACTTATGCGTTACTAGTGGTCTACAAATGAGTTCAATCAATTACCTAGTTCAACTCATCAAAAACTTATATGCCAATTAATTTTCGCTTACATTTATAATGTGGTATGCTCTAACACTCTCTCTTTAAGCGGAAAATTGGGTCATTTTGAATATAACCAATAGACCACTTGCAAATGGACTCTCCTTCCCAGAAAATAAAAGAATCAAATGTGTCAACACGTAAAGGACCACGAATTGTTGGGTATAAACTTCTAGACGAACAATCGGATTATACGGGACACAATCCTTTTTCTAATACGGACAACTGGCCAAAGACTAATGAGTCGCTAGGAATGAACTTCTAAACGGACACTTTAACAAATAAGAGAGATTAAAACTGGCCCTGATGTCATGATATAATTTATGATGAGATATGAATCACTGGACTGGCTCATAAGACACTTAGGCTGATATTAAAAGATTAAATTCAATCGGCTACTTTATTCAACTCAAGAATTTATATACTGATTATTTTTCTTTTAAATTTCCGATGTGCGAGATTTTAACATCCTTTATTTTGTATAGTTAAAAAATGTACTACTTGGTAGTGTTTATGTAATATGTATGAAAAATTTAAAAATGCACTCACTTGAACGTAAACCAACCAATTGTTAGCTCCATCGCCACTCCCACGATCCAAAACATATGCCGGCGGACTCCCATCCAGACATACTACGCACCACAATTATGTTAAAACAAAACAAAAGTTATTTCTTTGTTTAAACTTTTTTTTTTGCATCTTAAGAATCTCACATCATACTAATGAATTTAAATTGACATTACTATTCAAGACAACTCCTTTATTATATACTCCAATGATTGATTTTTTTTTTGATTATTTTTTGAAAAATCTAGTGTCCATAAAAATAAGAATAATTTACCTGAATAGGACTAAAACATAATGACTTTCTCAATATAGGATCATATGTTTTTATTTCCCAATGTAGGACCATTGGTCATTATCTATTAGTCATTATTCCACTTAATGTCCAGCGTCTTTTGGACATTATTCTTCTCACTAGACATTATTAAGTCCTATTTAGGAAATAAAAAAGTTTAAGTCCTACATTGAGAAATGACTTATGTGTTAGTCCTATTTAGTGCAAATTTCACTAATTGAGATCTATGAAAAATATTAAATGCAATTGTTGAAAAAATTGGAAGAGACTTATTTTGAGAAAGAGAGTAAATATAAATGGCTGATATTTAAATGAGAAAAAATAAAAAAAGGTTCGGTACGAAATATATTTTAGACACTATTCTGTATTTTGACTTTACATTATCAATAATGTAAAACTTTGATCATTAGAATGTATTTTTATACTTTAAGTAAAAATAAATTATAAAAGTGCCAAATATTCAGAACCGTAATTCTTTAAAAATATTGTACCAATAAAATTTAGAGCCTTGTGTGGGTTGTTCAATGATAGGTTAATTTATTTCAAATGATTGGTTAATTTTATTAATTTTCTTAGAACGTTAATTAATTGATTAATTACCGGCTCCTTTATCAACGCCGCTCTGGACAATGGTATTATAAATAAGCTGGGCTTCTGATCCGTTGGATTGGACCCATATTGCCAAGCAACACATTAGCAAACATATTCTCTGGCGTGAGCCCATTGCTGAGTAAGTCATTCTGCACCAATACAAAATAGAAAATGTAAACAAAAGAAGAAAAAAATGTGACAATTATATATAATCTCAAGCAACGAAACTTAGAAGCTATACTAAGAGGTAATGAAAAAAACTCCATTTGTCCAACTATTTTTGGCATATGAGAATGTGTGATCGATACTGATCATGTCGGGATAGAGAAGAGTTCGAGTTGAGTGTCTTCACGCTCAATATCGAACAAGAGAGACCAATGAAGAAGGAGAACTTGAGAAGGGAAGTCGAGATAACTATATTGGTTCGATTTTCTTTTTACGGAGTATGATTTAAGGAACCATATAAAAACACAAAAAAGAACTTATAATTATTCTCGACATTTTAACTAAAAAACACATTCTAATATTTCAATTGAATTATCTAATTGACTAAAAATAAGATAAAGTAAGAATGAATGTAAATCGCACAAATATGACTAAATATGATATTATTAGGAAATATAATAATGGAACAAAACAAGTAAAAGAGACAAAAATAGTGAGAGCGTAGAAGTAAAATTTATTATAAATTTACTGATGGTCAAAGTGTGGAAATGAAGATCATAGTTCGTTAAAAATATGTCCATTTCTTGTAGTGTCAAAAAAAGAATATGAGAAACTATGTGAATGTATCATAAATGTCTTTATAAAAAAGAAAAAAAATATTAAGGACATCAATTGTAGAAAGAATATAAGAATAAAATTTCAGACATAATAAATACAGAAAATATGATTTAAAACAAGTTTAGGTTATTATAACCTCTATACATGATCACCTTTCACACAAATGTTCTCACAAACATTTATAAGTATCTAAAATAATAATGTCGTTAATTAATTAAATACCTATGATGATAACTTTGAAGAAGGTTAATTGGGAGATAATGTCTCCTCAATCTCAAATGATACCTACAAGATTTATTTTGATGTTTGTTGTGTTCACTATATAAAGGGAAACAGGCCTCCGAGAATTTGGGAACAGTCCCCCAAATACGCAACAAATGGTCGGTGAAGCATTGGTCAACATCCTATAATGTTTTTTAGCCATTAATTTTTTTTCTCGTATGAAAAAAACATTAATGACAATGCACAATTATGCCAACAATATTTAACCACTTTTAAATTATGCCAACAATATTAATTAATGACAAATTAAATTATTTATTACGGTTTACAATGTGTGGCTTATTTTATTATATATTCAACTTATTTATGGATATTAATATGGAATTAGAATATAAATATTGAAACGCAACATACAAATTTTTATCTTTGTTACATTATGAGTAACAAAGATAAGTACTCCCTCCGTCCTTAAATGTTTACCACATTTCGAAGAACGATGTAAAATATCAAAGTTTTTCATTTCATTTTATTTAAATATTGTATAAAAATAAAAAATAAAATTTACATATCAAAAAACTACATGAAAAATTCTTTGAAATAAGATGTGTCAAGAATATTTTATTTTATCAAATAACTAATAAAAATGCACAAATAGACAAAAATACTCATGTTGAAAAAGCAAGTAAAAAATTTCAAAATAGATCTATATTTAATGATTTTGAACTATAATCAATAACACTGGTGTAATACAAGCAATAAATTTTCATCGATTTTGTGTGAAAAATTATATGTTGGTGTCAATCTTAATGGCATACTTGGTGTTATTCTAGCACTTTACGAAAAAATTTACTCGGTTGTACATTTTGATAAGAGGAATGTAGCACGGCGTACAAAGTTGTACTATCTCCTTGCAATTTTTAACTTTCTTTGTCTCAATATTCGCCCCAAAACAATTTTTCATGTTCATTTAAATTAAAAAAAAATGTCTAACACTAAAATAAGAAGGTAATGAATAAGAAGCCATCTTGGTCAAATATACTCTCTCTATCCCAAAATATTTGTCTACTTTGACTTTTTTGGTCAAAATGAAAATGCTTTGACTACAAATTAAGTGATACTGATATTAAATATTTATACAAAATAATCTTATTAGATTCATTTCATAAAATATTTTCAAAATGTTTTTTATCTAATTAATATACGATATATAATCTATTTAATTATATGTCAAATGTTGAAAGTGATTAGCTGCAAAAAGTCAAAACGGGACACATACTCATGGACGGAGAGATAGTATGATTTTGCACAAAATATTTTCATTGAACTGATAATGTCTCAGTGTATTACTTAGGGTTTGAAACACATCCAACGAAAATAATCATTTTGGCTCTGGATTATGCCAGCATGAACAGGTTTTTGATTGTCATCAAGGGTGGCTCTCTCACTTGATGAAGAAGACTCAGTCATCATCTGTTCCTCCATTGCCACTTCTTTGCCTTCACATATGATCTTTATATCACAAAACTCTGGTGCATTTTTCACTATCTCCTTAGCTGTGCTCTTCCCCTTTTTCCACTTCATTTTCCTAGATATATAAGAAGTTGCACAAAGTCAATAATGCCGAAACACAAATTCGTCAAGGAATCGGCTCAACCAACCAAAATCTCAAACTTGCAGTTGGAGTGTCACGAAAGGTTTTATACTCTAACACTATGTGCCCTCGCGTGTAGACCAAAGTTTTATGTTGGCAAGCACATCTTAACGGAAAAACTCAAGTTTGTGGTTGGAGGCACATAAAAGGTTTTATACCCTAAAAGAGAAAGGAGATGAAAGCACATTTTACCTCAGATTTGCTTTGGGAGTGCCCAAAACCAGTTTTCTGATGTTACAGATATGAATGAGGTCCAGTATTGCTTTTGCCTCTGTATCACTCTCTATAAGTAGGGTATCTGCTTTCACCTTTGTTGGAAAAAGTTGCAAAATAACATCAAAATGTCATTCTCAAAAACATCTTAACTTGAGAGTAAATTGCCCTCTCTTTGGCACTGACTTTTCCTAGTTTTTCTGAGTTTTAACACAAACTTAAAAGACAAGTTTGTTATATACTCAAAAATCGGGAAAAGTTCGTGTCGGGTGGAGGGTTTGTTAAGAATGTATACCTTTGAAGCGGAGCAGACATCAAGAAACTTTTGAAGGAACTGCATCCTCTGGTTTCTTTCATGAGTTTTGTGGTTATCTTTCTGTTCTTGGTTCACTTTGCTTATTGGAATCATCCCCACTGCAGTAGTAGTAGTCATCACGAGACAAATAAATTTCAGTTGCCATTGATGATGAACTCATTTATATGTCTTGAACCCAAAAAAGTAAATAAAAAATAAGTACCAAGTATCATCTAAGTTGTACGGAGACGGGGATGACACACTAGAACGGGGAATGATAAATTGTCTAACGAGTTAGGCAGAGATGCGACATGCATTAACTCCCGCAAATGAGAAAGACAATCGGAAAATGATGGAGGAGACAAATAGGCTAAGCTCAACTATTGGTCCTTCGACTTTATCAGTTGTACGTCCTTCAAGTTTCAAAAGTCCATAAATAGTCCTTCAATTTTATAAGTATTGGTCCTTCAAGTTTCTAAAGTCCATAACTAGTCCTTCAAGTACACGTCAGCTTTCCAGATGAGGTCTTTTTGACGGTAAACGTTAAAAGTTTAATGGAGTACTAGCGCCATATAATACAGAGTAGTCGTACCTAGTGGAATTTACTCGTATTATATGGAACTAGTATTTCATTTAGCTTTTAATGTTTACTGTAAAAAATACCTCATCTGGAGGGCTGATGTATACTTGAAGGACTACTCATGAACTTTTGAAACTTGAAGGATCAATCGTACACAACTTATAAAATTGAAGGACTATTTATGAACTTTTGAAACTTGAAGGACCAATCATGCACAACTGATAAAGTTGAAGGACCAATGGTGAATTTTAGCCGAGATAAATATTTACTTTCGTCCCATAAAACTTTTTCACTCGGAAAAAAATGGAATTTAGGAGTAAGTAACAAATACTTACCTCCTCAAAAGAAAGAGTTATGTATGAAATGGAGACCAATAGGACCCCTACAACTTTAACTTTTACTTTAACGGAGACGGAGTGTTTTAATTTTGATTTATTTATAGCTGTTGTTCAAACTTTTAAACATAACGAGCCGTGAATTGGCCGGCAACCTGCACGGGCTAGTAATCCCCAACCTACATGGGTCATGATGGGTCCTCCACCATGATTTGATTTTATTAGTGTGTTATAAAATGGTAAAAGTTTGTATTTCAATTTCTTTTTTTTTTTTTTTGAATTTATAGATAAATGTTTTACAAAAGTTTAATTAAGTTCAAATTGATTAATTATTTTTGTATTTTAAATATAAAAAGAGCAAATACTCTGGAGTAATTTTATTAGGGTCCACGTTAATTGAGCTTTACCATGGTGTCATATATCTTTCCTTGATCTTTAGAAATTTCTTTGATTGAATTTCAAAAGCAATTCTTTGGTTTTTCCTTTATCCACACCAGTTACTTGCTTTAGAGTTTATTCTCTTCAACTTATTCTTTTTATTTATTACTTATTTTTATTGGAATAACATCAGGAGTAACTTTAAATATAATTACAATCAGATCAAAACAGATCTTAATCTAATTAGATCAGAACCCAAGCAAATAACTTGAAGAGAACAAGCCCTCATTCTCCTTCTCTACTTAATTTCTTTTGTTGTAAATGCTTTTAGGCTGTTAGGCGTTCTTAAAATTTCATGGATATTCTCCTCTGATAACATATACTTCTCCGTCCCACAAAGTCCTTGTTTTAACTTTTATGAGATTTGAAAAAGAGATATTTTGTGTTGTCTTTCCCAAATTACTCTTAATGTAACATGTAAAAGTAGGTTGCGATAAGTAGATTATTAGTGAATATGTATGATGTGATAGGTATGATAAGAATTAATAAGAGTTCGTAAAAATACTTTTTAAAAAGAAAAGAGAGCGATTGTGGGACACAAAAAAAAAGAGAAAGAGTTTGTTGGACGGACCGACAGAGGGAATACATTTGCATATTATTGTGGTTAATATTTAGTTACCTTTATTTTACTACAAATTGTATTGTGTAAGAAGGTCTATACATTTTAAGGAGTAGTTAATTTAAGCCTTAAGGTATAGTATTACTCTACACAAATAGTGTTATGGTATGTTTGGGAACATGGATTTGGATTTCAAATCCGGATTTGGCCTAAATTCCATGTTTGGGAAACTTAAGCATTTTAAATTTGGATTTGAATCAAATTCTTTATATTCAAAACAAAGCTTAATTTGAAATCCATGCACCTCCCCTTATCATTTGAAATTCTGAATTTCAAATTTTGGAATTGAAATGCATGAATTGAAATGAAATGCTAGTTGCCAAACACTACCTTAAACAATTCTTAGGTGATTCTAAAGCGCATCCTAGATACACTAGCTTACACTATATACTTGAAAAAGAAAAACAATACAAATCGCCAAATCGGTATATCAATAAGAAATAAAAATTATATATTAAAAAACTACGTCAAAAGTTCTACAAAACAAAAAGGTGACAAGAATATTTTATTTTATCAAATACTTAATGAAATCGCGTAAATATACAAAAGTTATCAAAATGAGAGAAAAAAATTGTACTCGGGGTAATAAAAATGAGGACGTTGAGAGTATGTTTTGTTTGAGATGAGTCAAAGAAAAAAAGTGCAAACAATGACTTATTTGTATGACCGGAGTACATGAATAATGTTAGAATCAGAAGATTGTAAGATAGAAGCTCAAATTGTCAAACATATGATTTCTTGAAGTTTTGAAGTGTTAAAAAAAGAAAAAATGATGATTAAAATAAATTCCCTCTGTTATAATTTATTTTTCTCCTTTCTAACATGTGCACAATCTTATTTCTTTTAAAATGATTTTATTTATAAATTGGATATAAAAATAAAAAATATACTCCTTAAATTACACCATTCAAATTTAATTATATAAAAAGTTTTATAAAATAAGAAATGAAAAAAAGATTTTATTTTATTAATGAAAACCCCTAATCTCTATTTCTCTATGACCATGTGGAAGAAGATTGAGAGCTTACGTGGAGAAGGGACGAACTTAATCTTTGGGAAAACATGAACCAGAATCACCACCACAGAAGAAGAGGAGGAGCGCCGCCGCACCGGTTCCGCGGCATTGCCGAGGGCCCACATCAGCGCATCCATGCTGGCCTCCGCGTCAATTTTCGATCCGCTCCCCACGGCGACGTACACGGCGGCGACGCCATGACTACCGCAGTCTTCTTCGCCGTCAAAATCGTAGGAAAACAAGCTGCTCGCGCTGCTGTCTTCATCGCTCTCCTCCCCTCTTGATGAATTTCTTCCGCTCATACACTTTACCGACGCGATCTCGAACAACAGATCGTCGCCGCCGCGGTCTCCGCCGGGCGAGGTCGGTTGAACTGCTTTTTCTATTTCGGTTCCCATGGACGCGGCGGCTGCGGCGACTTGAGAACTTTAATTGCGAATTAATCAATTAAAAACGTCAATCCCAAAAAGTTGTTACGGAGTACCCGCTGGAACGTTGAGGACGTGAGTGGGGGGTTCAATGAGTGCCGTTTAAGGTTTGGGAGGAGTCTCACACGGAGTGGAGTATAAAAAATGGACCAAAAATCAAAATATCACTATAAAAAAATATAAAAGTCAAACTTGATAAATTTTAAACTTTAATTATTTTTAATTTGTACTGCATATTGGCATAATCAAATAAAATTTAGAAAATTTTCAACAAGACAAGTCTAAAAAATTATTTTTACACAAATATATATTACGATTTTTATTTAATTAAAGTTTAAAGTTCAGTAACTTTAACTCTTTCAATTTGCTTGTTTTTTTTCTTCAAATCGCTACACAACATAATAAAAAGGAAGAGGAGGACACCATCACTAACACTAGATAGTACAAAAAAATGACATAAAGTTTACAAATTTATTATTTATAAATTTGAATTTCTATATATGTTTAAATTAGAGTAAATTTCATAAAAGGTCTCTAGTTATAGGTCGTTTTACATATATAGTTCCTACATATCAAATATCAATAATTTAGTCTTCAATTATTATATTGTTTTTCACAAATAGTCCTTTGTTAACATTTTTGTTATGAACACGGATAAAATTATATATTCACACTCCTCTCTATTAAATTAAGCTTCCTCCCTTCTCTCGTACTCATTCCCAAATTCGTCGCTGAGTTTGAAGCTCTAAACCCAAAGTTGAATCGATCGCTCCTCACTCAATTATTCATCTTCTTGTTGGAACCCAAAATTGAAACCAATAACCTTCATGGATGAATTTTATGGGTTAGTCTCGAGAAATTGCAAAAAAACAAATCTTAAAACTCATTCATGAAGGTTACTGATTTCGATTTTGGATTCCACCAGGAAGAGGAAGAATTGAGAGAGGAGAGATCGTTTCGGTTTTAAGTTCAAAGCTTCAAACTCAGCAACGGGTTTGGGAAAGAAGTGCGAGAGGAGAGAGCAAGCTTAATTGAGGAGAGAGAAGAGCGTGAATTTACAATTTTATCTATGTTTTTTTACGAAAATGTTATCAAAGGACCATTCGTGGAAAACAATATAATAATTGGGGAGTTAATTATTGATATTTGATATGTAAGGACTAAATATATAAAACGAATCATAACTAGGGGCCTTTTATGTAATTTACTCTTTGAATTATTTGAAGCAATTGATCGAGACCTTGTAATAAGTTTTATAAGTAGTAGGCTTGTAATGTTTGTATCACTTTGTTTTGTAGGGAGGTAGAGGTTAAGAAACAACAATTTTACCAACGGAGCACTGTAGGTGTTTTAGATTATAATATGACCTTCATCTCTAACGTCAAAAGAACCGCTAGGTTAATCATTTTAGAAAGTTGTGCGGGGGAGACAACATTGCATCGCAGTTTTAGAACGAATTGTTTACAATGAACGTAAAGAATACTTAATAGACTTAATGAATCATGTGATATTTTTCAAATTAGAGTTGTATATCAAAGTACTTTAATTAATCTGATAAGATATTACTATCTACACGAGTATAGAAATTCTGTTTTCTAACATACCCTAGAACTCCACATATATAGAACTAAAACTTATTAAGCGCGTGTGTTGGCGAAACATTCAAATGTTTGATCAAGACATTTGAATGTATGCAACACTTAGTGTTCAGGAATTGCATTCAACAATTTTAGTATGGAATGTTACGTCTAATCGGGTAACATTTGAATATTTGATACTATACATTCGAATGAATGTTTGATACTAAAGATTTGAATATTGTGTGCATTTCCGCAAATGGTATTGGAGATAAATTATACATTCGAATGAGCTCTGTATCATTTTAAACAAACGAATGTTGTTTTATTTTGGACTCAGTCATAGATTGTCATCGGCCCTTAATTAGCCCCTATTATAAAGTATGTAATATATTCAAGATTTCAAATGATCGATCTAAGAAAATTCAATTACATAGAATAGTCGATGATATTGAAATCATCAACATATTTTTGTTTTAACACCTCTCCTCAACAATTACGATATAAAAAAAGTTTAACACATAAGCGGAAAAATTAATATGCATTCTGTAATATTTTTAATATATTCACAGTTGGTGAAATACTAGTTTAAGAGGAGACTTTCTGAAATTGTTTTTTGAGTAAATTCTATAATTGGTCCTTTATAACAGGGGGTTTCCCTATTTAGTCCTCTATTATCAAATATTACTCAAGTTGTCCTTTTTTATGGGTACCTTTCCACAAATAGTCCTTTTTTTGATCTTCTATCATGTTGGTGTTAATTTGAGGGCTAAAAGTGTAATTTCACAATGATAATATATCTTTTTTGTCATACACAATTCCAAAGGCTGTTCCATTTGCGTCGTTTGTGAATTACAGTCGCTTTTTACGACAATTATAGTCTACAAATGTGATCTTTCGTCAGAATCCTAGCCCACAATCATAGTCATTATTTTTGTGTTATCTGCTTAACCAATATCAGAACACGTCACTAGACATAATGTTGACGTCAAATTATACTTTTAGCCTTTAAATTAACACCAACACGGTAGAAGATCAAAAAAAGGACCATTTGTGGAAAGGTACCCTTAAAATAAAGGACTACGGGTGTAATATTTGATAATAGAGAACTAAATATGGAAACCCACTATTATAAAGGACCAATTATGGAATTTACTCTTGTTTTTTTGAAAAAAGATTGGATTGGACAAAAACTCAATTATGCGAACCCAAAAAAACTCGACCACGAGACCGAAAGAGAATTAGTAATTAGTAATTAGGGAGTAAGATTTAAGAAAAGGACAATTATGTCTTACAACCTTCACATTTTTCGTCCTTCATCATTGTTATCAACTCGGGTACAATAATTAATCTCAACTCAATTAAACTCAAATTAACAAGGGGTGTAATGTAATAATTTCAAATTGATGAATTAAATTTATGTTAGTTCATATGTTTTTTTTCGCATTAAATTTTATAATAAAAATTTAGAGTCTAAAATTGATAAGTAGATTTTGAAAACTTGCAACTAACTCAAAGCTAATACATAGATTAAACTTACTTTATGAAAATACATTCAGAAATGCATTTAGGACAAAAATTTAATGGTGTAAGTTAACTATGAAAACACGACCGTAAAATTACATTTCCAAACGTTATCATCTAAAACTGTGTGTTATGCTTGCGTCAGGCATCACCGTGGTCCTGCGTGGCTTCACCACATCGGTGGCCCTTTCAGGCAAACACCGTCTCGCCCCTCCCCCTCGTGACCACGGTCCGTGAGACCCGCCGTAGTCACGATTACGGTCCAGTGAGTGTTGCTCATTTTCCTGTGTTAATAGCTCCAACGGTCATTTTGACAAAAAATTAAATTAGAAACCTACTAAACTCCCTTTCTCTTCAATTTAAAGAACCAATTCTAACCATTTTAAAACACAATCCCTTCTTCATACTCTCAATTTTTATTATACTCCCTCCGTCCTAAAACTTTCTTCCCAGAGCACTATTCCAAATTCACGGGAATTTATATTTATTTGTGTTTTTTCATGGTCTATATGATAAAATAAAATATTCTTGTCACCACTTGTTTTGTTGAACTTTTGATGTAGTTTTTAAATATGTATGTTTTATTTTTTATTTCTATACCAATATTTAAATAAAATAGATTGAAAAAACTTGGAATTTTTATTCGTTTTGCGCAACGGGAAGAAAGATATAGGACGGAGGGAGTATTTTTTTACAAATTTTGTATTTCTACTCACACCATGAATCCAAACAATCTAAATCTTCCGTATTTTTACAATCCCAATAATCCCCCTACATGTTCGACAATTGTTTTCGTTCAACTTTCGAGGGATATGAGTATTGGACTCCATTCCTGAACTTCTTCTTGTGGGGCTCTCAAGGCTTAACGCTACTAAATTTCATTCCGGAGACGCAACCTCATTACATTCCAGAGACGCAATTTCCGCATGACCAAGCTACTCAGCCTGAGGCGGAGTCCGGGAAGAAAAAAACTTCAAAGGTAAAAGGCTCCACTTCCAAATCCACAGAGCCAGTGCCGACGAAAAGAACAAGTTCCACTTGGTCGGATGAGAAGGAGAGTGCGTTGGCAGAAAGTTGGATCGATGTGTCGGAGGATTCAATTCAAGGTTAATAATTTTTTTTGTCCAATTTTTTTCAAATTTTTTCGACTAACACAATATTTTTTAAAATATATGTAGCCAACAACCAAAAGCTGAACACTTTTTGGGATCGCGTCCACAAATAGTTTCATCTGAAACTGGGGAGAGAGACCTATCGTACGATACGGTAAACATATTGACGAGTAAGCGACACGACTTGAAGAAAAAAGTTGACAAGTTCCTCAGATACTTCACCTAGCACACAAACAATAGAAAAAGTGGGGGGGGGGGGGNAGCGCATCGAGGGCCACACCACACTTTTGGTAATATCAAGGCGTGGAAGATTATGCATCAATCAATGCGCTAGAAAAAAACGGCATCCTTTCGTCCGCCTAAGCGATCAAAGACTTCATCGTCCAACGACCCTTTCACCTGAAGTCAAGGGTCGGACGCCAAGTACTACGTCAACCTCAACGATGACGAAGAGGAAGATGAGGGCTATGTGCGAGATGTGTCGAGGCCGATGGGACGGGATCGGTCAAAGGCGAAGGAGAGGAGCTAGGAGAAAGTTGCTTCGGGTTCCAAGGACGGCGGCGATTACCAGGAAGAGTTGCAGTCCTTATCCACTCGAATGACTGACTTTTTCAAATGATGCGCAGTGCGAGCGGCACACACAGTAATCTATACAGCTCTCCCCCATGAGATAAAGAAACTAACACACACACACACACACACAATTTTAATTTTTACGTATGTGGTCCTTTTACTACCTCCGAGTATTTGTACAATTTTGACATTTTACCATCAATCA